GAGGTGCAAATAGTCTCGGTGAGGGTATTGCTTATTTTTCGTATTTTCTATTTCAAAAATCCTAATGCTTCTACAGTTCTATATAATACGAAAGAAATGCAAAAATGGAACTCTATCGTTAAGGAGACACAGCATAAGCCTATGAAGACATTTAAAATTTGGCAGATTGAGCGATTGATTAAGTTTGAATACTTTGACGACTAAGTGTGGTGGCCGCTTTAACATAGAAGCACACAAAAACCTTGAAATTTCACAATTTGTCATCCTCTAATTGGAAATAATCACTCTAATTTTAAAAATTGCATTTCCTGTGTTAGGGTTGAAGTCCATTTTGCTAGACCACCTACTTCAGCTGAGGACAATGTCTACCAAATCTGAGATTTGGTACTTAGCTATTGTCGTTTAATAGTTAGGGAGATTACTGAATCAATTTTTGCATGATATGAATCCTGTTAAGCAACTTTGAAGAACCAAATTTAGGTGCATCAAATTGTGGTCCATCCCTTTTCGGAAACGTGGATCGAACAACTGAAAGTTAAATGAGTAACGCTTTAATTGTAAACCGAGAAAGAAAGGTGTCGTCCCAAAATTAAGCAAAAATTGATAGTTTTCCTCAATTACCTCGGTATACCTCATGTGGTTTTTCAAATTTTCCAAACTTTAAGGAATCAAATATTATTTGAGTATTTCTCAGCGTTTAAGTTAAACGACCTGAACTGAAACTAGATAGCTCATGTGGTTTTGTACCGGGATAATGCACCTGCTCCCAGTACTCTTGTTGATTGTTATAAGATATTTCTCCAGCCTTCTTAGCATTCGTAGTGTAGTCGTCTGTGCGCTGGGCGCGTATTACAGAGATCGGTGGTTCGACTCCCGGGGAGGGCGTTGCTCATTTTTCATCACTCCTGCTTTAAAAAATATCTAATGCCTCTACAATGTTTTAGCCATAAAGGCATCAAATGGAGATCCGCAAGCTTTATATTCGCTTGTTATTGCATCCTATGATTTTTTTCGTAGTTTCATAGTTAAAACTGTAACCAAGGCGGACACCATTTAGAGTTTACTACCACTAAGAAATTTCGTACATATCTTAAAGGGACTCTAAAACTTTTTCGAAGATTGGGAGAACTTTGGCATAAATGCATCTCAGTTAGAGATGGATTACGTTGAAGGGCATGTGATAAATATCGAGCAATAAATTAAAATCTTGTATTTATTAAATCGGACTCCATAAGTTTCATCATAGTAGTAAATTATAAACAGTATGCAGCACAACAACTTGCAAGACCAGGAATTTGGTAAACTACATTGCAGAATAAACAATTTAAATACTAACTTGTGGTAGCAGAAAGTAGCATAATGGAAGAATAAAAATGGAAACATTAGACTGTAGATTGTTCTAACCTCAAATAATAATCGAAGAGATCTGTACTAAATATGTAACATGTGTATTCGAAATGTCTTTTTATTCATTATAATAATCTTGCAGAGACTCAAAAATTATCATTTTGGATGCAATATAAATTAAATTTACTTTAATTTATTTCTATTAGTTACAATATTAAAATAATAATAAAAAAGGCTTAAGTTATTAAAAAATAATATACTTTCTTTCAAATCGCTTAGTTTGTTAAACAACTACAAAGCAATTCATAATTTTAAGTTTTGCCGTTGGCAATAATCAGAGAACTGAACGCATGAGAACTTTTGGAAGATACATTATCGTTAAATCTTATGTCCCAAGCAAAGGCAACACTAAATAAAAGATATATGAATAGTAGCGCAATGTAATATAAGAAACGGGAATGGCCAAAAATTTTGAAAAGGCTCTCTTAAAGATCATTCCTGACGACAAAAAGATCGGCATCTAATCACGAAAGAAAAATTACTGCATCCTCGATTCCAGGAAATAAATGATTCAGGGGACAGATTTCTCTCTCCGCCGAGTTTATGATTCACAGTCTATTTTGCTCGTGAGTCAAAGTTTTTAGTTGCGTCTTTCCAACATTTCTTGACTGTTACGTTATGTTGTGTTGCCATTCATTAATTATAAAAGTGATTTGGCAAGTACTGCCATTGTACAAAGCATAAAATCTTTACTTTAACAATTAAATTATCTTCTATATGCGCTAGCAAACATATTGCCATATGTCAAAAGATAAGATTTTTAAATTAACTTTCAGATTTAACGATTCTGTAACTGATGACCAATCTGAGCGCTTTAAAAGCAATAAATACATTTCTTAACGATCATAACTATCTAATTTAAATTTTCAATTTATATTTTAATAATATATTAAACTAATGCAATTTAAGTACATTAAATTTATGATATGTACAACTGGTAATTATTCGTTTTAATGTGTATGAGTGTGTATGTATGATATATACACCTTGCTATATATTTAAAATATATAAATGTCTCGTGTCATTTTATACAAAATTTTAATATTTTCTCTTTTTTTGGTGTCATTAGTAGATATTAAAATTTAAGTTTAAATTTTTTATGAAACGAAATATGAATTTTTTTGAAGTTTATAATTAAATTTCATAAAAATACATTAAAATCTTCTTAAACATAGCATTTTATATCCCGTAATTATAATCTGAAAATTTCAATTTCCAGGAAGTTTTTGTACAGAAAAAAGTAAAAATCCGTACATTTATTTGTAAGTAATCCTAATATGGTAAAACGTCGTCAAGTATACTTAAACATTTTTTTTGTTTTACTTTTATCAGACCCTTATTGTATTATATTTAGATGAATAGACTATGTTACTGATTTTTAACGAATAACTTACTCCAGATCTGTTTACAGAAAGGGGCAGTTAATGTTGTATAATCTAATCTTAAAGCCTAAAACTTTCTAACAAATCTAACGTAACATGGTACTAAAAAAACTGCCACCATTGTAAAACTTAACAAGAGTCTAAATGGATGTCAAGAATTATAATTAGGTAAAATATTTGCTTGGAATTATGACTTCATGGTGTAAGAAACCGAAAACGATAAAAACTTAATTTTTTACTGAGACAAACAGTAACAAACCCGCACACATACTGTTAAGTAATAATAAAAGTGTCAACCATATTTATAGATATTAGTTTACAAAGATAAAAATTTATATTTTAACTCTTTCTGAATTCTCAACTAAGAATAGGGAGTCAAATAACACTTATTATATAAGAGTTCTGGGTTCCTAAAAGTAGTTTTTATTAATAATTTAATTACCATGGATAGAATCAAAATACTCAATATTTATTCAGCATCATTTTAGCTCGCTTAGTTATAAATGAACTTTCGCATCATTTATCAGTATGTCACCTTCGAAATTTTGATATACGTACCATTTTATAGCCCACCAACGACCGAGCCGCTAAGCACTAATAGTTCGGTCCGGGGTTCGAATCCTGGCGAATGGGCTGGCTGCATGGGCGTTTTTGTGATTTTCTCCATGTATAGCTTGTATACGAGTTAGTATTCCTTAAAAAGACCTCCATGGCGCATCCCTTTCTTTCCGTACACTGCCTAAGGGTGGAGAACGTAATAAGTAAAAAACAAATACCATGTTGTATCGGTAATTGTAGTTTTTTATTATAAATAAATCTGCATAATTTTAGAGAGATATGTGCTGTAAAAAACAATGAAAATGATAGAGCTGAAATAAAATTCATAACAGTTATAATAAAACCTTATTATGTGAGCTTGAAAAAGGCTTATTTATGTATCATAAATATTTCTATGTAATGCATATAAACAGCAATGCTCACTTTTAAGAATTTTTTTAAATTTTTTACAAGACACTTACACGTTACTGGGCAATTTTAGGTCTGACTTTTCCTAAAAGACAGAATCTTAGATGTGGATACTCTTGTGTCAGAATTCAAACACGTTTGTTTGAAATTTCGTTGATAAAGTCATCCACTGAGCTTCATTTGAAAACTTTTAGTTTGACATTTTAAAGCTTATAGCAGTGCCAATGAAATTTTAAAATACCTAAAATATGTCACATGTACTTGACAAAAATATTTCATGAAGACTGCTTCAGTTACTAAAATAAAAGAGAGATAGATAAAGAAATGAAATGGAACGAAAGGAAAATTGGTAAGAAATCTACCACAAAGTTATGCTTATCAGCTTAAGGGGACTCGTACACCTTAAAACCCATAAGATGTTCGAATAAGTGACTGGGCAAGAATTGGGGAATATTATTTCAAAAGCAATTACTACCAAACTTTTTACAGCTAATACATAATATAGCTGCTCTCTGAATAGTAAATCAGAAAGTTTCTGTTGCCACAAATTTTAATAATTTAAATCCGCTTTTTGTGGCAACATTTTGGTCAGTTTCAACTGCGCGCACAGTTTTTAAAACATTCTGTTTCATAATTTAATCCATGTTTAATATATAGCTTTTATAACATTTGGAAACTACTGTGAACCGAAATTCTAAAAATTTAGTAAATTTTATTTTGAGTTGAGTTATAAAAGTATTTTATTAACAAAATTTTATGTTTTCTTCCAAAAAATTTTTCAATATTAAATATTCATCAGATTGTTGGTTCAATTAGAAAATAGTGCCTATATAGAATTCTATCTAATTCAAGATGTACCATTCCATTTTTAAAATATCATGCGCGCAAGGAGGAAACATGGCAAATATTTGTCACAAAGAGGATTAAACAAAAATATTGGCAAGACAACTTTTGGTTTACTAGTTCCAAAGCAGCTATATTATGTAGTCAGCTGTAAAAGTTGGAAGTAATTGCTTTTAAAATAAATAAAAATCCCAATTCTTGCAACGTCACATATTCGAAATCATAGGGGTTAAGGTGTATAGTCCCTTAAGGTCTGGATGGATCGTTCAAAGTTTTTTAAAACGAAATTTAGTCCATATGTTTTAAAGTAAATTATGAAAAATGATACAACATACTGAGAAATTTTAATTATTTTTAAGTTAAACAGACTGCTTAGTAACTGTTGTTTTCTTTTCCGTTTAGATGTCAGACGATGATCGTCTATCACTAACAACAGCTCTGAGTGAAGAGGAAGACGGCGAAGCCAGAAATTCTCCCTATAGAGCTAGATCCGGATCGGCCGCTGCATCGTTCAACTGCACGGGAACGGTACGAAAAGCTGGGTGAGTATTGTTTTGTTGACTAATGCTCCTTTTTGTCTGACCTAAAACCATCCCAAGCCCACGAAATTCCTCGTCGTACGGAGCGCAATATGACGCCTCACTCTGGCAACAACCTTGAGTACCCTACAGGTGAAAGTGGGACTTTGCTCAGTTCCGTCCCCAATTTCGATTGAGAGCATCCTGGAGCGACAGGTCCAGGGTTCTCCCACCGCTCCTCCTCTACAACTAGTCTCTTGAGGAGATTTTCTACTTGACTCATATTTAGAGTACCCCCATGCCGCTATATTGTTACGAAATGTACAGGCACGGTAGGATGGCTTCCCCGCAAAGCAATTCTAGGGTTACCATAAAATGGCAAGAGAAAGCAGGGTTGCCACATTTGGTGAAAAATCGTCTATTTGGCGATATTTGGCGACAAAATTGGCGATATACCATTGACGGATGGAGAACCTTCTGTAACGAATTCTCACCGGTTTAGCCCAGAATGTTCTCGAACACAAGCCGAAAGCTATATAAAATCTGCTGGTCCGCAGTCAGTCGGTGTGTGTGTGTGCCTCGTCTAGAGTGCGAGTTAGTTAATATCGAGTTGGTGTCTCGTCTAGCGAGTCAATCCCTGCGGAGTCGATTGAGTTGACAGCCGGGCAGCGAATGCCGAGTGGGTTATCGAGTGCACCGAACGAGTCTGTTATTGTATCGCGGTCAGTGCATCGTCAAGAGACCGTGTTGAGCTCCGGGAACGACTGAACCGAAGAGTCGGGAGCTGTGTTCATGTGTCGGCGAGTGCATCGCGAGCTGTAGCGTGGCTAAAATTATTGAGCCTTCTAAGCGGGCCTCAACATGAGCTTTTGGGAGTCAGAGGTGGAGGAAAAATATAGGAAGTTTAACTAGAAAAGCCAAGATAGAGTCTCGATAGTACGTGGAGTTCCGAGAACGACCAAGCAGAATCGGATGCTGTAGTCTGGTCTTTTGCAGGAAGCTGTCACCGTTATTGCCTGACAGTGTGAAGGCTGTGTCGCTGATTGTTCCCGCGTGTTTTTGGTAGATCTTCGACGACTGTAAAAAGTGTTTTTGGAGCTGTCCTGATTAACATTGGCTAAATAAAAGTGTGTTTCGATACTTCATCAAGTGTCGTCGTTATTCACTCCAAATCTACGAACCCCGTACGAAGGTGAAGGAAGAAAATAACGTAAGAACTGGTGTTAGAAGAAGGAAAAAACGTAACAATATTTACAAACACTTCCTTCTCCGGGATTCGAACCCGGCCCTTCGGCACGTCAGTCAGCGACTTTAACCACTACACCACTTGGGCGGCTGGGTACGTATAGTGAAACTTTGTACCAGCAGTTTCGTGCAATGATCATATCTTATGCTTGAAATTACCTACCAAATGTATACCGGTTCTGCTGCCTAATTTTTTTTTAATCTTCCGTATACGGTAAAGAAGTGATTGCATCAGATATAATTGATTGTTTCTAAATAGAGCAATCTGAAGAAATGCAAATAAGACTCTTCGGAGTAATCTTCTATCAGACATTTTTTGACTACGAGTTCTCCAAAATTCAAAATTAGGAAAAATAAGCAGCATTAGGTCAGTGTAGATTTTACTCAATTTTGAGATTTCGAAGTCGATTGACCCTCGATATGTGACAAATGCTTGGTAATTCGCTAGATTACTGAAATTCAATATTGAATATTTAAATATCACTGAAAACTAATAACTCGGCGAATTATTGTCTAAGTAAGTTCCTTCCTATTCTGAATAAAACAATGTATGCAGATGTTTTTACATTGTGAACCATTCAATATCTATATCACCTCGAGATACGAATTGAATTGGTTCCAGCATTGAGCTCGTATACCGAATTTCTCGTATCTAAAAGCAAACTTCCCCATTGAAAATAATAGAAATCCAGTTATACCGTTTCACACCCCAAATTCACACCAACTCTCATTGCCATCTCATCTTCTGTCAACGTACTTGGTGTTTTTTGGAGAAGGTCAAAGTCAGCTTCTCGTTAATCCACACCAACAATAACTTTCTACGAGTTTTGGATGGTGTTTGGATGTAACGGTTAACTTCTATGACCACATCAAATTTTAAGTGCGGATCGTCAATGTCAAATGGCCGTAAGTCTTCGTTAATTCCGTCACTCTTAAACCACTCTCATGTTTATCTATGATTTCTTTTTTAGCTTCAACGACCGTGCTTTCCTTCATTTTCTTTGCGGCACTATCTGAGGCAACAATTTTCTTGGCAGGCATCATAAAATAATTATTTTCTTATTAAAAGTAAAAAACAATTAACTCACAAGCGCACAGACACGTAGATCAAAGAACAATGAATGATCTGACGAGGGAATTCCTCGAGTCGAGACGGATCGAGAAATGCGCGACGCATACCAACAGCCTGGCTCGCTGTTCGTTATTCGAGTCAATACTCGTATTTAGAAACGAATTTTTCGCTTATGCTTTCCTCGCATCTCGGATTCCTCGTATACAGAGGTGCTCGTATCTCAAAGTTCCGCTGTACAAAATTAACTTCTGCTCAGTATACATCTAATAGAATTTATGATATAATTCTTGATAATTCTTGATACTTTTATCTTTTTATATTAATGCGTCTTAAGATTGTTAGTGGTAAGTGTAAAATGCCATATATCACTGGCATGCATCAAACGCAATTAAAATCAATCATAAGTTGAAAATACACTCTAACTTATTTACTATCAAATTATTTTTAGTCCAAAGGGGCAATTTGCCCAGAAGGACTATAAATATCGTTTTGGCATTTTGCATTGGTTCATTTTCTACGTTGTTTCACTTTTCAAATTGTTGCCACCAATATTATCGCCTGTATTATATTTAAAAATATTAAATAATGAAGATTCTGCGTAAATATATGTATGTTTCTCGCATTGTGATAAAACAACAGTATCTAGAGCCATCCAATTTTGAATAGTGTAAGCGTGGAGATTTGTAGCGTGGAGAGTCTCGAGAGTACGTGGAATTCCGAGAACGACCGAGCCGAGTCGGAAGCTGTACTCTGGTGCTTTGCAGTTAAGCTGTCTCCACCGTTCTAGCCTGATAACCTGAAGGCTGTGTCGCTGATTGTTCCAGGGTGTTTATAGTAGTTCTTCGACGATTGTAACGTGATTTTGGAGCTGTTCTGATTAATATTGGCTAAATAAAGTGTTTCGATACTTCATCAATTGTCGTCGTTATTCACTCCAAATTCTCACGAACCCCGTACGAACGTGGAGGAAGGAAATGACGTAACACCTGGTGTCAGAAGTAGAAAAACGTAACAATATTTACATCGCCATGTTCTTAAACCTAATTTAGAATCACACCTAAACGTGGAATATAAATCAGTTTACTGGTCTCAAAGATGTAAAGTAAGCAAAAATTTCTGATGAAAATCATCAATGAAAAACAAAACGAATTACAGTTGCTGCATATTTTAACTGAAATTTGTACAAGTCGATACACCTGCTGAAAACAATATGCCTTTGGTAATGAAGCGGAATTCAGCTACTCTCTGCTTGTATTTAACAATGTAATATTGGTTATAATAGTTAAGATGTGATTTTTTCTTACTCTAGAAAATAATATTGCCAAATCAAATTCCATTTTATTGGCTTGTGAATACATATATTCTGGAGGAACACTCCACTGTTTTCATTAAATGATTATGTGATACGTATATCTTATTACGAACGAAAATCTAGAATTTTCTTCAACAAGGATAGACAAGATATTGAAAAGTTTGAAAATATAGATTCTTATACGATAAAAAGTATGCATTTTAATATACTGTTGAGTTCTACAGGTTCGTGGATTTAGAGTGAGTGATGACAACACTTGTTGAAGGATCAAAACACAATTTATTCACCAGTATTACACAGGAGAGTTCCAAAAACATGTTTGCAGTGCTCAAAAAAACTGCGATAAACACGCTGAAACAATCAGGAACATAGCCTTCAGGCTATAACGGTGAAAATAGCTTCATGGCAAAGCACTAAAGTACAGCTCCCGACTCAGTCGATTGCTCTCGAGCTATTATCTGAACTCAAGAGACTACTACTGAACTCAATGTATTCTTCTACTCCGTATACAGGCGGGCATACATAGCTTTTTGACCTGCCTTCGAGAACATTTTCGGGAAAGCCGGTAAGGATTCGTTCTAGAGTGTTCTTATTCCGTCTATGGCATATCGCCAGTTTTGTCGCCAAATTGACGATTTCGCTCGAAATCTGGCAACCCTGCCTTTCCTTGCTTGTTTCTGGCAGTCCTAACCCCGCTTTGCCGGGAAGCTGTCTTACCGCAGTTGGGCATTCCGTAACAATACATATTTTAATGTATAATCCTACCTATATTTTATAGAACTACTAGATAAGACACAAAGCTTGACTGTAGTGCATATTACTCTTATTTTAGTTTTGAATCTTCAGCATCGTTCTGCATTTTCTTTTAGTAATTAATGAGTTAATGATATATTTTGTTGTAAGTAACAGCATTAAAAGAGTAATTTCATTGTGTATATAATAATGAGAGATTCAGCAATATAGTTGTAGATATTAAACTCATGACACATTTAACATAACTTATAGGTTCCTCAGCGTTAAGAAGTGGCTATTACGTAAAAAACAACAGGTGGAGCTTGCTCGGAAGAGAGGTTGGAAGGGATATTGGGTATGTCTGAAGGGCACGACGCTGCTGTTCTATCCTTGTGACAATAGGGACAACAGGGCAATAGACAGCGCTCCCAAACACCTCATCATAGTGGATGGAGCTATCATGCAACCTATACCAGAACATCCAAAAAGAGATTACATCTTTTGTCTTAGCACAGCATTTGGCGACGCTTATTTATTTCAGGTAATTTCCTTTATATTTTTCTAAACGCTTGCCTCCTAAATTGCCTCATATTCCTATTGCATGCAATTTTAGTATCCTATACGTAATGAGTATTTTACTTCTGTATTATGTAAGTTTTTACAATTTAAATTTGTTACTCTTTTAAAACTGGTAATTTGAATTTTAAAAGTGAAATATGACGCCCTGAGTCAGAGTGAGGTAAAAGATATATATGCCAAATTTCAAGAAGATTGGATAATATTGAGGGTTTGCAGACACTGATCATTTTTACCTCAAACTAGTGAAATTTCGAATATTGAAGTGTTTTGTAATTAATGGGCTTCTCGTGTATTTCTTTCCTTGGCCGCAATCTTTCAAAACTTACCCTGTCTCCAGCTATTTTTTACCGAGCTCTGGTGATCAATAGATATAAAATGGCAAAGAAAATCGAAAGAGTCACTCTTTGAAAATCCTCTTCATCTGCTCTTGCATTGGGATAGTAAAATGTTGCCTTCAGTTGCCCATGGGGTGTCAAAACTTAGGAAGACAGAGTTGCGATTTTAGTGACTGGCAAAGGTTTTTGAACATTTGCTTGGCGTATCTGTTTCCCTGAAAGGCACTGGTGTGCAAACTAGTTCTTTGGGAGGCGAACCGATTTGGTCTACGTGACAATATCGTCGGCATGTCTTTTGATATCGCAGCATCTAATACAGGACTGATCCAAGGAGCATGTACCAGAATTGCAAGGGAGTTCGGATGATCGTTATTGTGACGCCTTGCTTATCATCACACCCATGAACTAATTTTGAAAAGAGTATTTACCACTTGAGGCATACCATCAAGTGGACCTAATATCCAGATTTTTTTGAAGTTCCACAGTCTGTGGACTTGGCATGATGAAAAGTCATATATGATAATGTTGGATAAAGAAAGTCCCGTTCAAGGCTGTTAGAACAACGAGTGAAAATGGTTTACTACATCCAAAATGTCTAAAAGACAGACGTCATCCAAGAGAAGACTAGAAGGAGTTATTACATGTCTCACTCCTGTATCTAGGAGGTTGCTGTCAAAACGACTTCAGTTTCAGGATCCCAGGAGCTCTGCTACAAGCAACATGTACGGCAGAAACACTTAAAATTGTCACTAAACAGTTGCTTAGACGATAGTTGAAAGGAATGAAAATGATTGCACATTTTGTGAGCCTCATGTATGTTCGAATTTTTCACGAGGCAGCTGTAAGCTAATGGGCCCCAAAGAAGGATTTGTATATGTTATAGCCTCTGAGCACTTCTTCTGAGCCTAGATGTAGACGTAATAAAAGTGTCACAGTTGCTAAGAGACACCTTCGTTATTTGTCAGAAACAATCTTAGGATTGGCATTTTTGGACGAACGTATTACTCAGGCTGATAAGGAAAATGCAACTAAAAGCTTTGAAACCAAACCCGAAAAGAAAAAGGAAATTAAACGATTAGAGGGTAAAAAACCTAGTTTTTGAAGGAAACGACCTGAGCCATTTCGTTACTAATAAAACAAAGACGTTCTTTGAATTGTTTGAGATGGACGACGTGACAGAATACTGCAATGATTCTCTAAGGAGCAGTGAACGTTCTTAGGGTGATCCATGACATCGCAGAAAGAGGAATTGCTCTGATAAAATAGTTTAAAGAATCGGTCAGGGACAAACGATAAAACACTCCTTGTTAAAGGTAGTCGTGCATCACAGAAAGAGTTTTGCCAAGAGAACAAAGGGCATTCAAAGTTGATTCGCTTATCATGGCTGCCTGTTAATCGTAGTGTCTAGTTTTAATATTATTTTAAGTTTGTGATTTCTAGTTTTCCAATAAAAAGTAATTAACATTAAAAAATCGTATTTTTTGGCTACTTTTACAAAGTGATTAAACAGTGCAACCCTATTATCCAATCGTCTTGAAATTTGACATATATATCTTTTGCATCACTGAAACATGGGGAGTAAGAATTTTACATTTTATTTTTGACCTTACAAAACTGAAACACCCTAATATATATGCGTTACTTATTGGTTATATTTGCATACTTTTCAATATAAAGGTACTGTCACCATTGAAATATGATATTTTCGCAAATTTTAATATCTTTCTTAGATACGTATTAATTTGAAAATTACAAACAGCTAACTAATAATAAAAAGCTGTTTGTGAATTATCGAGTTGATGATAAATATCGTAAAAGCTTTTTCATTAAATGGGATTTCTTTACTTAGTTACCAAATAAAATCTGCTTTTTGAAAACATTGTAATTACTTGGTCACTTATGCCGTGAGAAAAACGTTTTTTTCACTGGCAGCAGGATTATAATCTATTATCTCTGTCACGCTGATATTGATAATATGATTAATAAAGGGCTTTTCTAATTCCAGATATTACAGGCTTCTTTTGCATATTCCTTTTCTCATAATATCGAATTTCTCTTCGTACTATTTCGCACTACTTGTTTTTTGTCTTGCCATGGAAACTTTAAGACAACTATAATAATAATGATGATGGCCTTCTAAACTGAGGAATTAAAAAGGTTATTTTACACGACAAATCGATAAAGCGGTGATTTCCAAGAAATTTAATTAAAATTTTAGAAGTGCTTTATGTGTCAGTAATGACTTTTTCAAAGGTGAAATTTGCAGCCTTCGTCTAGAATGGATAGCGTTTTCAGAAATAATACCATTCAAAAAATAAAATATGCATTTTCTAATGAGGAAATTTAGTTTTATCTAGTGGAAACTTTACAGTCCTCAGCTGTAAATATATATTAAGAAGTAATACTGTGTAGATACTAGAAAAATCTGCATTTGTTATTTAAGGGAAAAAGCTGCTTTAAATAACTTTTATTCTAGGTGTATAAATGTATAACCTGAAAAGTTTCCTGAAATAAATGTATTTTGAAATGAATGCTTCTCTAGCGCTAAAACTCGAAGTTTTATTTATTTTATTGTTGCCAAAAAGTGAACAGGATTATTATATTAAATTAAAAGTTTATTACGTTTAAATTATAGATTTATTGCGTTATGATTTGCAAAGACAAGATAATATAGGACTTTCAACTCGCTAAATAGTTTTCTGTTAACTAATCTGAGTAGTTATACTGTTATAATAGTCTTTACAAGGTGTACCAATATTTTAGGAATTAGTAAATATTTGATATAGTTTATCAAATATTTGATGTTTATAAACATCGCTTTATATGATTCAGCTTAAAATAAGAAAACCTAGCTCATCGTTATTTGTGTCAAATGTTAGTGTTTTTATTATTAACATATATTAAATAAAATATCGTTTAGGGGTTACCGTCCTGTTCGACAGGCGTACTTTTATGCAAGAAATAAAATTTAAGATTTTGATATAAAAGATTATTTTGTACGATTATGGTGACATTTTCTTCCTCCAATTACTTTCAGGCACCTTGTCATGTCGAACTAGAGAACTGGATTAATAGCATCCACTGCGCATGTGCTGCAGCTTTCGCAAGGCATCGTGGGAAAACTGGGACTCTGCATTTGCTACAAGAGGAAATCTTCCGGTTGGAAAAGGAAATTGAATCGGTTAGAGTTTTGATTTCTTACTTGCAGACCTGATTGCAAGATCTAAAAGTTTTTGTTTCTTATATCTAGAATAGAGCTGTTTTATGGTATAATCATTTTAGATACCTTTCACATTGCTAAATTCTTTACCAAAAATGCAATAAAATGAAAAATGTCACTGAATTTAAAGTGTTTAAGAAATTAGAAAAAAAGAACTTGCACTAAAACAGTATGCAGCTTGGGAATTACAGTTAGCTGCAAGAGGCTATATTTTAGTTATTTTCAAAGGGGAATTGTTTAAAGTAATTGAGCATTTTCGATAAGATAATATAATCGAATATTCCACTCTAACATCTACCTTTCACATAATTACTTACATGAACATTCTCTTAAATTATAAGTTCATGTGTTGGAAACTGGCCAAAGTATTGCGAAGAATGGATAAAGAAACTGCTGTGCTGAGTAAACAGCTTAGCGTGTTACTTATCAGTATCAGTCAATTATTATACATGTATCAGCTAATTTATTTTTCCATACTTTGCATATTTAAATCATTTTATACGTCCTCAAGTGATATTGCATGTTTCAGTTTACTAAATGCAGTGCTATATATTTTCGAGCAATAGAAATTTTACTTATTACGCCTAATTAATCTACTTTTCCTCTCATCATTACCAACTGTTAATATTTAGAAATATCAGTACTAAATACGGACGATATAACAAAGCTAAAATATAACGACTATAGTTTTCACTCTCTCTTAAAGACTTCTATCACATGTTTAATTACTGTGTAGGGATTTATATTTATTTTGAATAAACAGTTAAATTTATGCTTATACTTTCTTTCCTATAAGCCTTCATTCCCCTAACTGTCAATGGCTTATTCACAAAGCCTACAGACCGTTTCTGCTGCTGTTTGCTCCGATTGGTTAAAACAGGAAACGTAGGGTTACAGAATCTAGCGCTTGGCTAGCGACTTTTGGTTAATCGCCTTTACAGTTTGTATTTGAGCGTCGTGTACCAAAAAGTGTGCATAACCCAGCGAAGAAACTGCAACTTAACAGTAACGAGCGCGGGGAAAAATTCTCAGCCTTCTAGGTCGCCGGTTCTATCCCCGCTAGTAGCTTTCAAAAACTCTGCTCTGCACGGATTTGTTTTTATTTTAAGGGGACTCATACACCTTAAACCTCTCCTGACCTTCGAATATGTAACTGTTACAAGAATTGGGATATTTTATTTAAAAGCATTACTTCCAACTTTTTACAGCTGACACATCTAGCGCTTGGAAACTACCACCTGAAAGTTTGTGTTGCCACAAATATTTTGTAATTTAATCCTCTTTGTGACAAAATATTTCGCCTTTTTCCACCTTGCGCGCATGATTTTTAAAAATGCTAATGGTACATACTTGAAATTAGATAGAATTCTTTATATAGGCACTATTTCTAATTGAACCAACATCGATGAATATTTTTAATATGAAAATTTTATGGACAAAACATTACAAATTTTTTAATAAAATACATTTTATAACTCACTAAAAAATAAAATAAAAATTTCATGAAATTTTTAGAATTTTAGGGTCCAGTAGTTTCCAAATGTTATAAAAGCTATATGTATATATGTAATTAAATATGAAACGAATGTTTTAACTGTGCGCGCAAGGTGGAAACATGACGAAAAATGTTGTCACAAAGCGGATTAAATTATAAAAATATTTGTGGCAACACACGTTCGATCACTATTTCAGAAAGCAGCTATATTAATAGTCAGCTGTAAAAGTTGGTAGTAATTGCTTTTAAAATAAACAAGTTATCCCAATTTTTGCAGCAGTACCTATTCGAACATCTTATGGGCTTTAAGGTGTATGAGTCCCTTAACTTTATTGATGACTTTATCATTATTGTCTTTTCGACTTCGGGTGCGGTGTTAAAATTAAACACCTTATTTTTTTCTATTTTATTAATTTTAATTTTTCTTATTTTTATTTACTGGTTTGTACTCTTTGTAATAGGTAACAGTAGCAAATAATAATTTGCAATAGGTACAAGATTACTATCCAAGATCCCGAAAAGCATTTCAATAGAAATAGCGCATAATGGAATAACCTAACCTAACCTAATGGTAGAATTCGCATTTATTCACGCGCGCTATCAAACTTAAATATTCTGGCATTGACAGTAAAAAGAAGCAATTTTTTTGCCTAGAAGGATGATATGATTCTCAATTTACCATGGGAAGGCAAATAAGTAGAAAAAGGTTTACGGTAAACAGTGGTGCAGAAATAAAATTCGTGACGGATAGTTAGGCTATCAAAGAAATAAAGGGAGTTTTTGAATTCAATTTCAAAAATAAAATGAATGGTTAGTTAACAGAATTCATAACAGGTAAAATCTTGATTGCGTTCGTTATTACAAAACAATATGCAAATGTGCCCTCTACTTAATGAATCTATGGTCAAAAAGACAGTTTTTTTTTAAATAATTTGACTTCAGAATGCAATCAGAATGCTTCAGAACGCATATAAATGTCAGTATGTAAAAATGGAATTTTGGAAGCCTGGTTTCAAAACATTTTACTCTTTCAAACAGAATGTTACTCAACAATTAATTACATCTAAAGAAATTGTAACTGAGCATTAGGAAGAAATATCCTTAAGTTTATCGACTGCTTGCAAAAATGCAAATTCGTAAGTATAGAAACTAAATATTTGGCTAAAAGGATATGCTATTGTACCTGTGTTCGAAAATGTAGGATCAAAAATAATTAATTCTAATTTTTCGAACTTCAGGAAGAACATAAATCCTACCTCAGTAAACAATAAGTGGTGTGATGTGGTGTATTTAATTACGGCAAAGCACACTAGGGCTATCTGCCTAAGGGGAGGGATGCCTTCGTGGAGGACTTTCGAAGGAAAACTGGCTCATATACACGTTAGACATGGGGAAAACCACGAAAGCACCCATGCAGCCACCCCGTTCACGGGATTCGAACCTCGGACCGAACTACCAGTGTTCAGCGACTTTACCGCTCGGCCGCTGGTGGGCTAAACAATAACTGGAATGAGCTATTTTTTAAATGTATAAATAAATGTACGAGAAGATGCAATAGCTATTTTAACAGTTATTAATATTAAATACACGGTCAGGATATTTTAGCTTTTGAAAAAGAAAGACTTGGGGTTGATCCCATTCGAAAATTTTACACCGACGTGTTTCTCTTTCAGACTGATAAATGCCCTTGCTTACTGCTATTAAGATGACAACTTTTTTACTTCCTTTTATGAAGCAAAGGAATTGTTTTAAAAAGCGAAAAGTAAGTAAAGCGAAAAATTTGAGGTATCATATTTCAACAAAAATATCCATTCTGACAGCTTTCGAATCCATTTGAACGCTTTTTTGCGTGGCATCTGTTTAAGGTGTTAAGGTTTTTATGCCTTTAATTAATCTACATGCAATAGTTGTAGAATTATCAACAGTTTAAAAGTTTAGCGGGCATTAGGTCTAACGAGGACTTCATTTGTTTATATTTGAAACTCTTAGCAGAGTAGTGAAAAGTGCACCAACTTCAGTGAATTTTACCCAGTTGGAACGGAATGTTAACTTTAAATTTTGTGCGCTGAAAATTAGGTTTTCCTGCTCGTAAGCGGATTGTTTGTTTTGACGTAGAAACTTTAATTTTAATTGTAAAAATACTTTTTAACTATATTTTGTGTCACGTTTTTCTGTACTCCAAAAGTTTTAATGAAGGTGTTTTGAATTTTCATGTACTTTTGTCATACCACGAAATGAGAATTGACCTGATTGAATACAAATATATATCTAATGAAAGTCGAGGAAATAAGTTTAAATGAAGTGCAGCAAAAATATGTATAATTTAATACGCGTACGAGGCAGTCGTGGTGTCCACATCAGATATTTCTATTCCCCTTTTATGCGAAGACTTTTTTAATTCATTGGTTAACACTAAAATGGTATACATTGGTTAGACATTACTTATAAGATAATAAATGAAATAATAATCTTTTATATATCCGTTGACTATTTTAAATATTGCAGTTAAATTTTTAAAGTGCTTGTGTTTTTCAGCTACCTATATTAACCTTCTTTAACAGCATTCTTGTTGAAAGTTCAAACATACAAACAAATGTTACTCTAAATAGATAACAACTACAATAAATTTAAGAGGAATAAAATTTAATACTTTAAATCCCATTTTGTGTATATGTTACTGTGAAAGACCGAAATTGGAGAATGTCGACTTTCACTGGAGAATATCAACATTCACCAAACAAATACGTCGTGAAAGACCGAATATTCCCTACATTCTTGTATATTCGGACCCTCCCTCTATTTCGACATCACAGATAGGGTTGACAAAATATGGAACACTTTAGAAAACATTTTCTTTCTAATATGGGTAGGAACCATGGCATCCAAAACAGCTCGCATCTTTAGGATGAATAAAACAGTTCCGTATTTTGCCAAGGGATATTATACCATTCTTCCGCAACGGTGCAAGTTCGATACGATGTTGGCGGTGGATACGAGAACGCACTTTCCGTCCAATGTAACCAAAGTTCGATATACTAGGTCTGGTGACTGTGTGCCAGGGGAGATGGGACACTAATTCTCGTGATCAGACCAGTCTGGCAATAGAGCTGTGTGAACAGGGCTCTGTCGTCTTGGAAGACCCATCACATCGGGAACAAGTTGTACAGGGATGAACTTCATCGGCCAAAAGTTCACATAGTCTGGCAGTCATGCGCCTGACCCATTATCATGAAGCTAGCAGAGAACCACGATATGGCTGCCCAAACCATAACAGAACCCCCGCCTGTTCATCTTGGCAACAAGCAATATGGATTATAAGCTTGAGAATACGTTCTCCAGACGTAAACTCGTCCAGAAGTGGGAAACATGTGAAGAAGATTCGTCAGACCATATATCGCTTCACTGCTCTATAGTCCGGCTTATGACTTAAAACACCACCTTTCTGTTACGGCATAGCATCACGATGCGTGGCTTCTCATTGCAGAACGCCAAATTCCCTGTTTTATGAAGCTCCCTTCTAATGTTTTGTACTCAAGGTCGGTTAAACAACATTCATTTCCAGTAACTTTTGCAGCTGCGGCTTCTTATTTTTTCGTCACAATGCCCTTAATATCGTCTGTCACGTCACTCCAGGACACACTTTCGTCTCGCCGTGATTTAGCAGATGATTTTATCCTCTTTTCAATATTGCGCAATAAATCTTCGATACAGATCTCTTGAACACTAAAACCTCGGCTACCTTGCTTACAAAGCACCTACCAATACGTGCTCCAACATTGCCCACGTTCAATCGTTACTCTGACAATTCAATGACTCACATAACAGTACTCCACAACCACTGAACGTTTAGCAATTTTCGAGTGTATAGGGGGTCAGAAATAAAACACACCGAACCCTCATATTTCATTAAAATCATCTTTCTTTTCAACATGCTTCACAGGTGTTTCATATTTTTTCCATCCACTGTTGCTCTGGTGAAAGTCGAAAAGAGGGGTCATAAAGTGCAGAATAGTTTAAGTTGTTGCAATAAATAAGATTTGAGACATAATTAGTAAGTTTTTATTACTGTCATTTTATTTCTCATTTAGAACGCACTGTATAATTAAGTAAGTTTTTAACTTCTATATTTCTTTCTCATTTTCAATGTATGTGTGTTTTAAGTCTTTTTAAGTTCTTATTCAAGTCTCAAGTGCGTTTTTTTCGTGACTGAGTTACGGAAAGAATATATATTGTTATATGTTCAACATTCACCATTAGTACATGGTGAATGTCCGGTGTAAGTTCAGAAATAAATGTTTGGAAAATTTTGGACATACACCAGAGACATGTGCTGTTGACATTCACCGGTGAAAGTCGACATTCTCCAGATTTCGGTGTTTCACCGTAACATACATTTTAACAACTAAGCAAGTTACATGATTAGTTGAATATGTTTTTAATATTGTTTTCTAGGACTTTAAAATGAAGCACATGGCAGAGTTGCAGCTTACCGTAGTGGCCGACGCGGACAGCAGAGAAACGTTGACCAATCAAATAAGCCAGTGGGAGGAGAACATGGAGCGGTTGCACTGTGAACAGTTCCGCTTGCGGTGTTACATGTCTTCCTTACAGAATGGAGAACTTCCTAACCCAAAGGTACATTAAATTGTCCATTTATGAGATTACATCCGTCAATACGTCACCATGGCAACTGATATAGACCTAGCTGCAAGCACTTTGGAAAACAGCATTTACACTTCAGTGTATGAATAGTAGTATTCTAAACGCAAAATCCAGATGAGAATTTCCCTTTAAGTCACGTAAAGTTACACTTCAGATTAATGTAGCTAGAATTATACTTCAAATTAATATAGCTAAGATTTAAAATTCTCAGTCTCTCCGTTTTCGGTTGCTATATATATATTTCTAACTTTCCTCAAATAAATTTGAGAATTGCTTTTATATTTGAATTTTCAAAATATTCAGATATATTCGATTGGATAAAGCTCTGTTACGTGTCGATACGTTAAGTACATTAAAAATTACGAAAAGTCAGTTGAAATTAAGAAGATCTATTACTGATTGCTTTATTCTTTTTGCAAAACTGTGGAAATATTATTCAGAAACATGTGATTTCAAGCAACTATAAAAATTTAGATGTTCCTGCCACTTCATAATTCAACTAATCCCCACGTGCAGTATAGTTAGTTAATCAGCGTGTGAGAAGATGAGGTTATAACTTTGGTTAAATTTTGCAATTTGTTTCAAATCGTAGCTACGAAAGCGAAAGACAAATGTACGTAAACGATTCCTTTGCTGGTAGGTAATTACATTAATAATTGCTATGACCAAGATCTAAATGAGCACAATATAAACTCTAAAGAATAATATATTGAAACGAAAAAGGAATTGTAAAAATGGCCTCCTATTATAGTTAAATAATAAAAATTAATACATATATTTAATAAATGCACATACAAGTGTTAAAACGGTAAGCAAAATGATGAATTACAGGAAAAATTTGCAGAAAATGTTGTATTAGATCTGAAGTCAGTTTGCATACTAAGAGGCATTTTAGTCAAAGGGATTTGAATCCCGAAGGACTATTAGTTTCGTTTTGGCATTTTGCGTCGGACTCATAAATGTCGGTTCACTTTTCAAACTGTTGCCATAAAATGTTAGAGTCCTGCATTATATTTGAAGAAATTAAATAATGAAAAATCTGCGTAAATGTATGTATATTTCTCGCATTGTCATAAAATAACGGTACATAGAGTCATCGAATTTTGAATAACGTAATCCTCCAACGAATATGAGCATGTGGAAGACCAAATTTGAAATTTGAAATTTGTTTTATGATCGATTTCCTATTTTTTAAAACTTTGACGAATTTTTGATTAACAAACTCAAGGATTTCAAAGCGAGCAATGGCAACGTTGTGCAGAAAAACATTTTTATCTCCAGCGCGTGAGTCTCTGTATCGGAAATTCTAAAGATATGCTCGTTTTAAAACTATTTTGCGATATTGCTGTTGCACAGGATCTTATGGTTTAAGTGCGAGGAACATGATATTTAATAAAGAAAGGTAACACACAAAATGTTAAAAAACGCCCCTTTGGACGTAATTTAAAATCTGAAACATTTCAGATTTTTTTTATTTAATTATTTTATCCAACCGTTGAAAGCTTAAGATTTAATTTATTAACCTTCTTAAATCGCAGCAATAATTAGCCTTACGAAAACATTACTTGCATGTACTATAACAATACTAATGCAATTGGTATGCCTGAGATAAATTGACGAGGATATCCAGGATTACAAATTCAAAGTTAATCCTCAATTTCTAGTACACAGAAAAGTTCGTTGAAGAAGTATTGAGTCGTTGAAGAAGCATTGAGTCTTTAAGGAAGTATTCAGTCGTTGAAAGAGTTAACCCCTGAATTTTGAATGTTCCCTTGGGCTGACACCTAAAGCCTTAGTTTGCGTAAAGATATTGGGCAGTGCCTTAGAAAAATTATATCAAATTTTTCCTCATCCTGAGCCTAGCGTTGTCAAACAAGTGGCTTCACTATGTGCATTACAAATGTATGGGGGTAACTCTAAACGCTTTCTGCTCAAATTCGCTATGACACTGAACTTACAAGGAAGGTCGTCTCGAAACCTTGAACTCTCATTCTCTCGGAAAATGTATGAATCTGATCATGTAGAAATACATAATATTTAAAAAATGAATTGTAGATATTATACAGATAGGCAGTTAACAAACTGCAAAAAATAACGACTTTTGGAGATAGTGATATAACGACATTCCAGATTTTCAAAATACAATAGATTGCAATAATGCAGTTGTTATTATCTGTAATATCATTCGTCTAAATTTATTTGTACCTACTTTTCATTGTCTTTTTCAGTACTTTTCCTCCATCGAAAAATTTTATTTAGCTAATACTAATATCTATATCCCAAACTAATTTAACTTTTGTTCTTGCAGAGTTTATTGACTCATGTATCCAAAGCAACAAAAGCTACTTTGAACAAATTAGGTGTATTTACCGTTTCCTCTTTCCATGCCTATATCTGTGCCCGAAGTCCTTCCTTGCTCACTAACCTTCTTTCCGGTAGAGGTGCCACTAAAAGAAGATCTCTATCCAGATCCAATAGCGGAAGGTATAACAAAATTACTTATATAAGAATTTATATTTAAGCATTTGCATTTCTTTAAGTTTTAAGCATTTGTATCTCTTCTTTTATTTCTGTTGTGACGTGGTTTAATGGCATAGTTTTGCAAGTTTTGCCCTGTAGTTTACCAACACAGAAGGTTGGTAAAGTATTATCAGCCGCTTCTTAATATAAAAGACTTTGCTGAGAAAAGAAGCATGTTTCCTTCAAAGAACGATATAAAAGTTCATAATTTTTTATTTTCAAATAAAAAATTCGAAACTCTGTTCAGAAAATCATTTATAAAAAAACCTTTCTGTAAATCTCCTTTAACGGCCTTTTAAAACAGAAAGAACCAAATCTTTACATTAGTAAAAAAAAGCTAATCTTTATTTCCTTGTACGGGAAGTATTGTAATCTCGAAATATTTAGGGTATCATATTTCAAAGAGAACATCCATTTTGACCGCTCTGGAATCCACTGGAGCGATGTTTTTGTGTGACGTCTAAGCGTACAGTCAGAATAAAGGATTCTTTTCTTACGGAATTCATTTAAAACGAAATCAGAAGAGATTTGTTTCGTGACATCTGTACGTACATACGTACGTACGTATGTATGTATCTCGCATAACTCAAAAACGAGTAGTCTCAGAACGATGCAAATTTGTATGTGGGACTGCTATAACATGTAGCTGTGCACCTCCCTTTTCGGTTGTAATCGGAGCACCAAACGTGTATATATATGTACCCACTCTGTTACCAGCTCGGTGAGCTCATTGTTTTTATTCATACATGTTGGTAAATTGTGTATTTTTGGCTTTAGAAGTGTTCAAATTATGCTACTCTTATATTCCAGTTAAGGTTTTTTATGCCTTTAGCCGCTCTGCATCGAATAGTTTCAGAATTACCAACAATTTAAATGCATAAGAAGCGAATTAACCCTAAAGATGCCACCATTTGTTTCCATTTGAAACCCTTAGAACAATAGTGAATTAAGTCAGTTTCTGCACCAACTTCTGTATTTTTGGCTAGGCCTAGCGACAAAGAATGCTCCACCAATTAAGTACGAATGCTGGTAACAGGCAGTACAGGCAGTACACCAACATGTAACAGGCAGTACACCAACACAGCTGGTGGTAAGTTAGTGTCTTTTTGCCGAGTGGAACCAAAAGTAACTTTTCAATTTTGTGCACCGAAAAATATGTCTTCCTGCCCGCAGAACGAATTGCTTGTTTTGCCATAGAAACTGTAATTTTAACTGTAAAAAAAAAAATGTTTTAACTGTATTTGATGTTTTATGTTTTTCTGTATTTTATAATTTTTAAGGAAAATTTTCTGAGTTTTTATGTATTTTTGCTTTGCCGCGAAGTGAGTACTGAATTGATTGAATGAGAAATATATCTCTAATGAAGAATTAAAACTTAAATATTTAATTAAATAGTCTTCTTATAGTAATAAAAGAATCAGGTTTAGCATAATTATATTTGTAGCATATTTATAAATTTTGCATAAACCCGCATTATTCAGTATTTCTTTATAGATTTTTATATGTTAAAATATAATTTTGAAATAAGACTTCTAAGTAAAAATGCTTCATTATATCGTCAAAGTTTTGTAACACCAAATTTTTAGAAAAAGCATTAAAATTATGTTTATTCTTAACAAAATGCGCATCTGAACGCAGAATTAGAGCTTATGATGTCTCAATCTGCACTTTCATTTTAAGTAGTTTAATAATTTTACGTTTTCTTCCAGACGGTCCCTCAGTCTTACAACAACTTCAAGTTGCAGTTTAGATTTGCCGTCTATGCCTGAAAGGTCAATCAAGATACAGATTCCTGATAATCAGGTAACGTATTTTGAACAGCAGCATCACTTCAGTAGCAATTAAAATGTAAAAATTATAATTTAAAAGAATTCTGAAGGATTTCAGATTTTAACGGTCTTCCAGAAGGGTTTGTTAAGGTTTTTAACGCTCTCGCTGAGCATGCAGTCGTCTGCTGTTACACTCATTGCTATTTTTTTTAAGCTTTATTATTAAGCATACACCATTTTTTTCGTACTTACGCCATATGCAATTCAACAGAAAAATTAGGAAAATTTTAAAAGCAGCGTAGCAGTATACGCTTAAAATTCCCGATGCAGCGATAAGTGTTTTTCTGTTTTTTTTTTCACTATTTTCACTTCAAGTCATCATATCAATGTGCAGTTTTCTTGCTAAGACGGCTTTACAATTTTTTTATTATTATTATTAACGTTTTGTGTGTACTTAATGTTATTTTATTAAATATCACGTCTTTGGAGCTTACACCATATAGAATTTTATTTAACAATAAAATCATAAAAACAACATAAAAATATTTAAAAACAGCATTGTTTAGATTTTTTGATAGATAGTCTCGCACGCTGGAGACAATTCCCCCCCCCACACACACACACACTGCTGCCACTGATTGCTTTGAAGTCGTTGAGTTTGTTAATCAAAAATTCCTTAAAGATTTATATAATATATGAAATAGATAATAAAACAAATTCGAAATTCAAAATTTGGGCTTCCAGGTGCTCGTGTTTGGGTGGAGGACTACGTTATTCAAAATTGGAAGGCTCTAGTACCGTGTTTTCTTTACAATGCGAGAAACGTATATATGTTACGGTGAAACACCGATTGGAGAATGTCGACTTTCACCGGTGAATGTCAACATTCACATAGTCTCTTGGTGTATGTCCGAAAATTTTTCCAATACTCTATTTCTGACTTACACCGGTCAATGTCGACTTCACCATGTACTAATGGTGAATGTTGAACATAAACAATATTATATTTTTTTTCCTAATTCAGTCACGAAAAAAAGCATTGAGACTTGAAATAGACTTAAAACAGAACCTTAAAACACACAGTCCATTGAAAATGAGAAAGGAAAAATAATAGAAGTTAAAAACTTACTTAATTATACAGTGCGTTCTAAATGAGAAAATAAAATAATAGTAATAAAAAAAGCTTACTAAAATTATGTGACTTCAAATCTTATTTATTGCAACAACTTAAACTATTATGACTTCTTATGAACTCTCTTTTCGACCTACACCAGAGCATATCTGTGATTGCCGACATACACCGATGAGGGTCCGAATATACAAGAATGTAATGCAATATTCGATCTTTCACCAACGCATTTGGTGAATGTTGACATTCTCCGGTGAAAGTCGACATTCTCCAATTTCGGGTTTTCACGGTAACATATATATTCATGCAGGTTCTTCATTATTCAGTTTCTTTAAATATAATACAGGACGATGATATTTGGTGGCAACAATTTGAAAAATGAGATGCCGTTTTTAGTGATGCAGCAAAAATTCTAGACTAATATCTCATTCAGGACTAAGTTCCATTTTGGGTTAATAATTAATTAAATAAAATTCTTGTTGTAAATCTTATTTTTATTAAAGATATGAAGATCTATGTTTAAGAGTAAAATTATAATAAGATGATGGTTTGATTTTCATTTTCTACGAAACCTAGAACAATACTTATGTAATTTCAATTATTTTTTCCATTTACTTCTTTGAAAATAGTAAAAATATCAAAACAGAAATTCTAGTGAAATGCACTTTGATCAGATGCTGTGCAATTTTGACCACTCAGTGGATACTTCTTTCTGAAATCTACCCTATTCAGTAGGCCAATCGATGGCCGAGAGGTAAAGTCGCTGAACACTGATAGTTCGGTTCGAGGTTCTAAATACCGCAAACGGACTGGATGCATGGGCGTTTTCGCGGTTTTGTCCTTGTGTAATGTGTGTGCGAGCCAGTTTCCCTTAAAAACCACTCCACGAAAGCAACCCTTCCCTTAGACCGATAGCCCTAGTGGGGCTTTGCCATAATCTCAACAAACTAAACCAATCCAAATAATTTATATTCGAGAATTACTTAAGAAATGCCGAAACACAAAAGGACTGTTGTTACCAGGGCCAGCTGAGGCCAAGCGTGTATTAAATTTTGTTTTATTTGCTTATAAATTTTTGTTTCATTAAATGCAGCACGAAGTATAACAGATAATTTTGCTCTTGAAATGTAATTAATTCCACCATTTCTATGATGTATACGATAGCTATACAATTATTATAACAAGTACTGGATATCATGACAGCAAGAAAGACAAATATATCTAAAAGGCATAATACCAGTGATGATCTTCGAATTTTACCAAATGGGTTGCGAATGCATACAGTTACGAAGTACGAAAGAAAAGAAAAAAAATATATCCCATGACTTGGTGCTGAACCTAATGCAATAATTAAAAAATAACTAAATCTGAAATGTTTATTTATTTTTTAATCAGATTCAGATTTTAAATTACGTCCAAAGGGGCGTTTTTTTAATATTTTGTGTGTTAGGTTTATTTATTAAATATCAGGTCTTCGCGCTTAAATAAAGTTCAGTTTCAACAGCAATATCGCAAATAATTTTAAATGAGCATATCTTTAGAATTTCCGATACACAGTCTATCGCGCTGGATAAATAATTTTTTTTTTTTTTTTTTTTTTTTTTTTTTTTTTTTTTTTTTTTTTTTTGTCGTACAGGTTCATTGCTCGCTTTGAAATAGTTGAGATTGTTAATCAAAAATTCGTTAAAGTTTTACAAAATATGAAATATATAATAAAACAAATTCCAAATTTGGGCTTCTAGATGCCCATATTCGCAAGGCAACGTACGTTTCCCACAGTACGTTATTAAAAATTTGATGTTTCTAAGTACTATTATTTTATCACAATAAGAGAAACATATATACATGTGATGTACCAGCTTTTGACCGGAATAAATAGATTGGTGAAGAATCATAGATGTAGTCGTAGCTTAAATTATCAGACGATAAGTTTTAAAATCAGGATCCATTTATTATATTTCAGGAGAAAATAGCAGTTACAAAATTAAGAACTCCGGAGTAATAAAAAGAATTACTATAAATTTTTGTATGATGTTTACGGCAATCGTTACATCAAAAAAAGAGACCCCGATTTCTTTTGCGAGTCTTTTAGCCCTGGAAAGGCGAGCTTCCAAAAAACGTCGCCTGGTCAGCCATTCCATTCGCTTTAAATATCTCCGAACATTCTATAACTGCACGTGTAGAAAAGGCGAAAACAACTTGGCTACGGGGCGTGAATTTATTCCAACGCTTCAAAAGAGAACGTCGCCATTAAAATAAAAAGAACATAACAGGTAGAATTTTAAGTGTATTCTTGACTATGGAACTTTATTATTACATACATTTATGCAGATTCTTCATTATTTAATTTCTTTAAAGATAATATAGAGCTCCAATGTTTGGTGGCAACAATTTGAAAAGTGACCGACAATTACAATGAACCAACGCAAAATGCCAAAACGAAATTAACAGTCCTTCTGGCAGTGGGCAAATTATTTTAATTTAAATAATTAAATTCAGTGGGCTTTTAAATTCAGTGGGCAAATTGTCCCTTTGGACTAATGATTCAAGTTTAGGTGTTTTCTCTGCATGTTATTCCTAATGTTAGTTTTAAAACTAAGCTTTAATTTGTATGCAAAGAAAAGCTTGGTAATCTGAAATTTTATTTTTAAATAATTTCCTTACCTTGAATGTTTTTCCTCTGCTCAGCCATTGTGTCGGACGTTTTTTTATTTTTTTCCAGAAGTGTAAGATCTGATTTCTGAAGTGTAAGATTATTTATAAAAACATTTCTAATATTTGCTAAATTACGTAATTTCTCGCTCGAGTAAAGAGTTTTTTCCACTATCGAAAATCCCAATTACAATCAAAAGGGAAAAAATTAGAAATATGGGAAAACTGTGTGGTTTTTCGAATTGGGAAAAGGGAATTCCATTAAACCTCAGAAGAGTTTAAATTTACATGCTACTGGAAATATTTTAGGGATTATAAACCGAAAGCAATAAATATACTTTATTAAATACTACATTAATTTAAAAAAGATAAATCTTTCTAGTTTGCTGTAAATGTTTTACATGCTCATAAAATTAATTTAAGACACTTAAAAATATATACTATAGAGTTTATCTCAGATAACTGGAATTCTATTCTATTTTAGAAGTGCAGTAGAGTACAGTATAAAGATTTAATATTTTACATATTAAATTGCAAGCTCTGAGAAAAACCAGTCAAAGACGTGTAGATTATATTTATGTACATGGCAGGAAATATCTATTTCAGTCGTAATCAATTGGTATAAATATTTTTCACGTTAATTGGTAGGGCAAGAAGAAGTAAATTTCTTTTAAATATATTAATTATATAAACATCAACTTAATGGATTGGATTGGATTGTACTGGATTATTTAATTATGGCGAAGCACACGAGGGCTATCTGCCTAAAGGGAGGGAGGCCTTCGTGTAGGACTTTCTTAGGGAAACTGGCTCGTATACACGTTACACATGGGGAAAATCCCGAAAACGCCCATGCAGCCAGCCCGCTTGCGGGATTCGAACCTCAGACCGAACTACCAGTGTTCAGCGTCTTTACCGCTCGGCCGCTGGTGGGCCAAACATCAGCTTAAAGCCAGGCATCTGGAATTTTAAAACGACTGTCTAGTCCACCTATTATTTAAACGCTTTTAATTTTTCATTATTTTGCTTCTGCAATGATAAATGTCATTTATTGTTCATATAATAATGAAGTGATCTTTTCAGAAAACTCGAATTATCAAATCTTTTATGGCAGGAAATTTATCAACGAAAAATAATTCTCAATTCTGCTTTTAATTGCTTAACCTTTTCTACTTTAAAATATTGACACAGTCTATGATGTTCAGTCTAAATATAACTAATAACGTTTTACTTAATATATAATTACATAAGTAATTAATAATTATTTATTAATATATATATAATTATTATATTATTTAATATTACTATTCACAGGAAAAAGCTACTTAATAAAGTAGTAAATTAGGAAAAAGCTACTTTATATCTCACGTAAAATTGACTTCGCATATTTGTCACCTGATAGATTTTAGAAAGGGTTATCGTAAATGTTCTGAATCTTTCTAACTGTTCAATTTTTAGTACATTTTTGTTATTTAATGCAACAGATAAATTCCAGAGAGCTGTATCTTATTCTAATTGCCAGATTGAGATATTTTTAATGGCCTGGCGCATTATTTAATAGCCATTAGCCTTGCACCACTACAACGGCCGAGAATAATGGCCATTTTGTTATGGAAGTGCCTAATAGGTTGCCTAAGGGGGAAGGATAGTTACAACCCTGCCTTTTCTGGGATTCGATCCCAGGCCCATTGCTACAGCAGTCAACGTCACTAACAACTATACCGTCTAGGCGGCAAACTCAAAAATAGAATACAGGTGTTCTGTGTTCACACCCAAACTACGTTAGCTGCCTATCAGGTTCTATTACTAAAGAAGCTCGCGAACGGGCTGGCTGCATGGGTGTTTTCGTGGGTTTTCCCCATGTGTAACGTGTATACGAGCCAGTTTCTCTTAGAAAGTCCTCCACGAAGGCATCCCTCCCCCTTAGGCAGATAGCCCTCGTGTGCTTTGTCATAATTAAATACACCACACCACATCTATTACTAAAAGTACTAGGTTAAACTAAGATATAAAATTATGTCCAATAGCATTATTATACGATATACAATTAGCCCAAGAGTCCAGTTATGTCCAATGGCATTATTATTATATGTAAATTAACCCAAGAGCATTATTATAGTACCTAGAGGACAAAAATTTTAAAGTATTCTTAAGATCTTGTTACTGCGCATAATTCTAAGGACAAAAAATAGTCATAATCAAAACTTCAAGTACTAAGAAATTAAATATTTAATGTTGTTTAAAACTGAAAAATTCAATATTTAAATGACTTAAAACATTAAAACTAATACCTTTTCAGAATATATGTTAGTCATATAATTTTCATACTTGAAATAAGGTATTTAATTAATAAAATAATGCTCGACTGAGCTACCTGCTTGAACGACTTCGTTAGTAGAAACATAATAAGAATTCTTGAAACTATGCATAGAAAATTGTCTATTCAGAAGAAAACTAATTACTCAGGAATAAGAAAATAACAAATATTTCTTTTACCTGTTATTTAGTAACTGGTTCCTAGGTTAAAATCGTTATATTTAATGCTGTAACTTCTAAAGACGCTACGTAATCTTTTTGTTTCTACAACTTTATGTAGACTAGAATGGCAACGGTAAAAATAATAGTATGATTTAGAATAATAATGTTGTTTTAGAATATCGATATCTTAAAGTAATAATTTTCGTTAAAATATAGTAATGAAAAGTTATTCTTAAGCACATAAATACCGTTTTCGTGACGTTTATTTACAGTATTTCATTTCTAATTTGAAGGAATTATTGATTGATTCAAAACTTTTCTGAATTTTCAATAATCTATTGCAAGTGTTAGTCATTTTTCCTTCTCTTTTTCCAGACTGTATCCACCACATCTTTGAATGTTAGAGATAATATGAGTGTAGAGGAAGTACTATGGAGCGCATGCGCCAAAAAGCAGTTGTCTCCCAATGATCATTTCCTTCGAGCAAAGAAGCGGAAAGATGTGGACGAGTATTTTGTTCCTCCGAGAACAGAAGTCATAGAAAATCTCATTAATGTACGTTTTACAATCGATTTATAAAGTTTTATATGAAATTAAGTATTTTTTGAAAAACTTTACAACCTTTATAAATAATTCTTAGTCTTTCTTTTAGACTTCTTTGCTTATATTTAGTGCACATTTAAAATAAAAAATGAGTTAGAACATGTCATCCTGCTTTTATAAATGAATATATATGTTTTTCTTTAATTTTTTAAAACATTTTTTTAAATATTTACCTTCATACTTCTTCTACAATTATTTATAAAGATTATTGTTTTACACATGCTTGTGTTTTTAAATAATTTTTTTAAATTGTTTCCTTTTCTGTTGCCTTTTAAAATCATAATGATTACTACTTTTGAAATCTGAATGTATAAACTGTTTAAATAAATTTTACATACTTGCTTTACAAATTTTACGCAACACTAAGAAAGTCTTTTTGAAATTTACACTCTTTTTTTCAGGCATTCAATTAATATAGAATTTTATTGAATTAATAAATATTCAATGGTATTTAAGGGTCAAATATTCAACGATATGTAAATAGTAATTCAAAAACAATAATTTTGATAATTTTTGGTTATCTAAAATAAAAAATGCTTATTTTTGTAATCTAGTTTAGCAAAAGTATCATTTTTTATCACTTCGATTCAGAATATACTATATATTGATTTAATAACTATCCACTAAATCTTTGTTTTAGAAATATTTACAAATAAGTCATTATTGCTCTTTTAGTCGTTTTTATTTTAAATACTTGCTTTTTAAACTCTTACAAATTATTGCTTTTCACTGTTCATTTCTTAATCACACCATAATGGTATTTTTTATCTGCTTCATGCACAATTTTCCGTATTGCGTGAATTAATTCAAATTGATTAAGAAATAATTAATTCTTTTTCACAACCGAGATTGTGTATTTCGCATTCAATTAATTCAGTTCTCACTTCGCGACAAGGCAAAAATACATAAAAACTCAAAATATCTATATTAAAAATTACGAAGTAAATCTTAAACACTTATTTCCTCGAAAGAATTCCAAGAAAGGATTAAGTATGATTTAATTGGCAATAATAAATGAAGGTTTTTTTTTTTCTTGTTGTTGGGAAGGTAAGTTTCTCTAGATTGGCAACAAATCCACTACTTTGCTGTTTCAAATGTAAGCAATCAATGGCCGCCCTCAAAAAAAGGCTTAGCGGCACTTAGACAACTTTAAAATTGATGATAATTTCTAAAAATATTGCATACAGATTTACTAAAGGGTGTAAAATTCTTAACCTGAAGATAAAAACAACATAATTCAATCATTTTTTAAGCAAAAAATGTACAATTTACAAACATATAAGAGTAAAGAAACTGAGATCACTGAGCCGGGTAACAGAGGGGATATATACATAAATATATTTATATACGTTTGGTGCGGCCGATTGCAGCCAAATTACGAGGCGCACATCTACATGTTATAGCAGTCCTATATACAAAATTTCAACGTTCTGAGGCTACTCGTAACTAATTTCGTGGCGTCTGTACGAACGTATGTACACGAAAAATTCTCTTCAGATATAATTTTAAAGCAGTTTTATAATTTTTTTGGAGGACCAGTCTTTTATTCTGTCCTTACGTACAGATATCACGCAAAAACATCGTTAATTGCATTCGATAGCGGTCAAAATGGATATTTTCGTTGAAATATGCTGCCTAAAACTTTTCGCGATTACAGTACTTCCTTTTTACTTCGTACAAGGAAGTAAAAAGAGTTGCAGAAGCGATATTTAATTCCACTGAAATTTATGTTATGTTCACCCATTTACATTGCAATGGATTTATTCTAACTGCAACATGGAATGAATCATAAAATAGCCTTTAAGCATAAATATTGATAAATAAACCCGTAATCCCGATGTATTAATAGCACTTTCTTGAAACGATGATTAATGGTTTTTAACTTTGTTTTTTTTTCCTGCAGTATCTACATAGTTCTGTATCTTCAAAGTAAATGTGTATTATTGAAATGTGTGATATTTCGTTTTCCTGAGAGATTGATGAGTTAGTTAATAAATGTGATGTTCATTATATCTATTAATACCATTAACTCCCCCAACTCCCATCTATTAATGCCATTATATCTATTAACTCCCATCTATTAATACCATACTCCCCCAACTTATATATTTCGTAAAAGAATTGTTATAAAAAATTATTTTAAGCTTTCCTCCTTCCTTCCTTGAAAGTCTTTAAAAATATCTGTTTTATCTCTACAGCAATACGAAGTGCTTGAAGTGTGTCCTAAAGTGCTGTATCAGGTGGAACTTGGTCGCCAAAGTCTCGAGCAGTTATTCGGTTTCAGCGTAGAGGCAGAGCTGGTAGAAAATGTAGATCACCAAGACGAGCTCTGCGTCTACGTCAGCAGAGTAGAAGAGGGTAGCGTTGCTTATCAACAAGGTATGACTTTGACAAGTTTCTAGAAAATTATGAAAACTTTTAATTTACATCCTAGCTAAATGCTATTATTAAGTAAGAAACATTATTTATAAAGTTACGTCTTAAATGATATAATACTTTTCAATATGTTATTTTCAATGCGCTTCGTTACGAATTTGAGTCATTAATGGCACACTTTATGAACACTAGCACATAAAGTTTTAATATCATTACATATATTTAGTTTCTGCGAGTTTTCAGGGCAATACCTTGTAAAGTTGCGCGCTTCCAACCTGCATGCAACAAAGTGGTGACTGCTGAGAGCTGGAAAGTAGACAAATTCTTGAGAAGGGTTTAAATCCCTTTTCATTCAACTTTAGAAATTACAAATGCGTGCTCTTGACGCTCGCAAACTACGCCGACCCGGAGGTAAAATAAAAATAAGAAACTAAAAAAGAATAATAACAAGTGACTAGCTACGAGGCTATCTAAACGTAACTAACCTCACCGCGTTCTAAGATACCGCTGATAATTCAGCAAACTTCTGAATATTACGTTGAAAAATTAACAATCTGCCGAGGCAAGCACACAGGCCTAAACGCGTGGTTCTTCAATTTCTAACTAGCCACCTCCACGCTCGTGCAGCAAGAAAGCACACTTTCGAACTCGTTTCCCTTCTATTTAACTCAGATACTTCCGATTACTTCCGCTGACAATTCGAATCCTTTGCGCGTTCTACTAGAATTTACATACTCTGGCATTGGCAATTCCAGGGGAAAGTAAGGTTTAACAGAAAAGATAGTTTAAACTTAAAATAAATGTTAGTTAAAATAAATATAAACCCTACAACCTAAATGAATACCTATTTATGAAACAAAATGTATACAATATGAACCTTCTCAATGTATTTTAAAATCTTCTCTCTGGCTTAAATAATTATTTCAGAATCGAGTGAGAGATAATTTAAAAAGAAATCTCAATATCTTAATTCCTGAGTACAAGCGCTTATGGAATACATGATGCAAAAAGAATTCCGAATTCCATTCAAAATTATCAAAACATACATCATAAAATCAACCTGTTACTACGTAAAGAACAAATTCTACAGTTTATAATAATTTTGTTAAAAAAGTTTTAATTAGAAACAATTATACATTAATAAAACGACTTTCAAAATTCGTATTACAATTAAAATACGATACTTAACTGAGCGTTTACAAATTTTCTTCTCAGAATAAAATTAAGTGAACATGCATAATACGTGTGATATTTATGTTCTAAATTTTTAAAGCAGCCAGCCAGAATGAGAAAAATGATGCATATCTTCATGCAGCGTAGTTCAATGTGGCCATCTTAAATTTTATAAATCTTAAATTAGAAAAGCTTTTTATTAAATTGTACATTAGGTGCCTAATCTCAAAAATTCTAGTCAAGGGTCAGTACGGAATGTGCAAAACTATTTAATTTACGTTTTTCTAATTTAAGATTTTTTTTTAAATTTGTCTAATGTTTAAACCTTTTTAGCCTTACAAAACGCACATTGGTTATTTCAAAATCAGGCTGCACTTTTACATCTCTCGAAACATGAACCACTTTCATGAAGATGCCACGAAAATTGTAAAATTATGTTTTTCAAGATTTTTACTTTTGTTTATCAGTTTTCCTCATTTTTAAGCAATGGTTGTTTTCACTGTTTTGACCTTACATGTTTTTCATTTGTTCCCTACTTTGATGTACCTGAAATATAAATTTTAAGTTTACTATCACTTTTAACTTTTATGATATATTTATACATAAAATAAGAAATTTAGAATCAGTTTTACAAAGATCAAAATTTGAAATTCATAATGTAAAAAAGAATTTAATCAATGATAAACTAAAACTTTTAAACAAGTAATACCCTAATTTAAAAAAACTCAATGAAGTTTACAGAAAAAGAACATAATAGAAGAGTAATTCAATCAACTTCAATGCTACTTCGTCAAGAGGAGAAACACTGAAATCAATTGAAAACTCTCTTTCGCAGAAAGTTGTCGGAAGTTTTCATGCTGCTCTTTGGAAAAGACCAAAACGCTTTCAACCGTATATTACTTTATTATGTTGTTTGTTTTTGCTTCAGTTTTGATTTATATTAAATATTTTTCCTGTTAGTAAGCTAATGACTTTTACTGATTTAATTATTTTAATAATTAATTAACAATTATTTTAATTAATAATTAATTAAATTATTTTTATTGTATCATGATTATATATATATATCTTCGCTAATTAGTGAATATTTCGGGAATCACATTGTTATTTTTTAACTTTTCCCTTTCATTCTTAAAATAGATTGGAAGAGTCAAAATAGAATATTAACTGCTATGTTTATAATGTCTGTCATTCCCTACTTTATTTCAGTTCCAGCCTAGCTCTGCGTATGAACTCGTTTATATAGTTTCAAATTCATTGCCTTCCAAAGAATTTACTAAAACCAACGGTCATCATGTTTCAAAGGCTGCGTAAATGCACCATAGAGATATCAGGAATGGCTTCCGATATGGGCATTTCCTGTAGCCCTTGCATAATTTCTCGATCTTTCTCGCAGTGTGACAACAAAGCATAAAGCTGCAAGCACTTTCTTTTTCTTTCTTAGAGATCTTTTCAAAACTATATTAAATATCAAAAGCAATGTTCTCTTCAAAGATGCAAAATTTCAAAATAATATGGATTCTGAAGTCAAAGCGCCCTTGCTGGTTTCCTGAATGAAACGTTGCAGTCATGTGTTAAGAAAGATTCTTTTAAGTCTGTCTTTGTGTACTGAAATTTTAATCATTTCTCTAGAAAGAAATTGAATAACCACCTTCTGTGAGCGCTAATCCCTTAGGCACTAAGTATTTAAAATTTCATAAGTGGAAATAGAGTTATATGTATTGCAAAAGATTTTAATATTTAAAATTTCATAAGTGGAAATAGAGTTATATGTATTGCAAAAGATTTCTCGTGGATATATGAAATAGAAGTGAACCAATAGCTGATCTAAACTCATTTGATGTAACCACGTAAGGATCCTAAGTTCTACTAACGTTTATTTTATTTTAAAACTGTACTATCACTTCTTATTTCTACTTCCGGCCAGAATTAAATGCTTTAAACTTGTTTGCAAAATTTGTCTTGCGAACGCCCAAGTACTTAAGTTGTGGCTTTTTGCCAAGCGAGAGAAAGAGAAGGAGTTTTAGTCGAAGCAAGCCTGTAGTTTTACGAGTTTTCACTCGGTTGCTGGTTGCCTTTCAGGCCAGAGGTTTACCCTCTTGATATTTGCACGTATCGTAGTTTCAGCAGCTCGACGTACTACATACGTACCTTTCTTTAAATAAAGGCCAGTCTTAGTGCTAGGCATTTGTATACTAATTCAAAGTTTTCGTATACCCTTTCTGCTTGTGTTGTCTACTTCACACTTTCTTGAACATAGCTTGAGTAAGCTCCCTGTTCCTATGCAGAACCATTCATGTTTGCAAAGCAAATCAAGAGAAACGCAAGCCCTGACAACCAAAATGGTCTGTTTGTTATTCTTGTCCAGTTTATAGTGAAAGTATCACAGATTCTGTCGTTTCTTTGCTTCGAGAAATATTTCTATGACTGTGATCTACTTGACTCTAGTAAAAGGTTGCTTTGGGGGTTTTTCAGCCAAACAACCCAAAACTGACATTTCTGATACCTTTCTTCCAAATTCATAAAATTTCCTCACTCGTATTTATATTATTTTAAACTATTCTGTCTTTTATTTTTCTTCATCATCAAGTAGGAGAAATTTATTACACCCTTTAGCTTCTCATCTAAAATGAATAACTTTAAATTATAGCGTTTTTGTTCTAATATGGAACATCTTTTTGTTAAGGTTTAATGAAAGGAGACGAGATCATGGTGATCAATGGTGCCATCGTCAGCGATTTGGATATGATGTACATCGAAAGCATCTTACAAGAGGAGCAATCTCTTTGTATGATGATGAGATCATCGAGGACTGAGCCTCCAGATCTGGCTAGTGCGATGAGAACTACCACAGACGATTACATTGAATCTTTGGTATGTCCTCCCCCACCTGGAGACTCTGTTATCTCGGAGGACATGATTGGAAAACTCATAGTTCCCTCTCCTATTTGGTGCAAGGAAGGGGGCACTTTGCTCAAAACGGCACAATCCAGTAAGAAGCTGCATTTTGTCTATGTAAAATTACGTCACCTTCCTTTTTTTTTTCTTGTAAAAGTATAAGAAATTGTATAATGTGTCTGTAATTAATTGGTATCCAATTCATTAGTATTGGACTAAAACTTAATTAGTACTGGAACGCATGAAACTGCAAACACTTTTGTGAAAGGAGTAAATGTCAAATTCGGATGCTGTACATTAAACCTACAGAGAAAAAACGTTGATTTTCTAAATTCAAAAAATCTGATGTGTACACCACATGACTTCCTTGTACGGAATATTAAATTATACACATTTTTTTCTTGCATTTCATTTAAACTTATTGTATTCAATTAAATCTACTTCGCCGACAACGCGTAAACCACAATAGAATAAATGCATTCTTTAAAATTCACTCTAGTATTGGTTTACCATAGCGACACTCTGGCGCTAGATTCACTTAACAGTATCATATTTCGTTCATATTATAACTCATAATGCAAAAAAATTATATCATTTAAAGAATAGAATTATCTATTCGTTGCCACATGTTCTATTCAAATACTATAATAAAGCTAGAACGATGTATAAAAGAAATTAAGCAAACAAAACAAAAAAGAAACAGTTTTTCAAAGACGATTGAGTATTTCTCATTCAATTAATTCAGTTCTCACTTCGCGAGATGACAAAAATACATAAAAAGTCAAAATATCTATATTAAAAATTACGAAGTAAATCTTAAACACTTATTTCCTCGAAAAAATTGAAGAAAGGATTAAGTATGATTTAATTGGCAATAATAAATGAAGGCGTTATCTTTGTTGTTGCGAAGCTAAGTTTCTCTAGATTGGCAACCAATCCACTAGTCTCCTGTTTCAAATGTAAACAATCAATGGCCGCCATAAAAAAAAGGCTTAGCAGCACTTAAACAACTTTAAAATTGTTGATAATTCTAAAAATATCGCATACAGATTTACTAAAGGCATAAAAACCTTAACAACATAATTCAATCATTTTTAAAGCAAAAAATGTACAATTTACAAACATATAAGAGTAAAGAAACTGAGATCACTGAGCCGGGTGACAGAGAGGATATATAAATAAATATATTTATATAGGTTTGGTGGGGCCGATTGCAACCAAAATACGAGGTGACACATCTACATGTTATAGCAGTCCTATATACAAAATTTCAACGTTCTGAGACTACTCGTTTTTGAGTTATGCGAGATACGTACGTACGCAAGTACGTACATACGTTCGTACAAACGCTACGAAAAATTCTCTTCAGAATTCATTTTAAAGCATTTTTTTTTTTTTTTTTTTTTTTTTTTTTTTTTTTTTTGAAAAGAGTCCTTTGTATTCTGTCCTTACGTACAGATATCACGCAAAAACATCGTTAAATTGCATTCGATAGCGGTCGACATGGATATTTTCGTTGAAATATGCTGCCTGAAACTTTCCGCGATTACAATACTTCCTTTTTACTTCGTACAAGGAAGTAAAAAGAGAAGAACTTTTTTAATTATATTTCCTATGTTATAGTAGCTATAAAATTATCAATTATAAAATCGTATTGAAATTTCAAGTTTTCAGTCTTAATGGGAGATAGTAAAATTTCAAGGTCTATTATGGCCTTGGTAAATATCATCTGACGACAAACGTATTTTTATTCTTATCTGAGAATCACTTCAAAATTTGATTGTTTCTCTTGTGAAGATATCTGAATGAGTGTCATAAAGCTTTTTCTGGGAATAAATACTAAATATAAAGTTTTGTTCTATATCAGGTGTTCTAGTGTCATAATTTAGTGCCAAGTTCCACCATTTAACTAGTATTTTGAAATTCATTAAACTGCTTACTAGAGAAATAAGCCTGCCATTATTTTTCATTTTTTGTAATGAGAATGAGACAAAAATTAATCATGTCTAAGTTTTCATAATCTTGGGATTCAATGATGTATGCTGTGTTATTATGAGCTTTGGAAGCATAAAAATAACTTTATGCGGGATATTATTCTTTAATCACATTTAGTGGCAAATATGAGATTTTAGTGCACTATTTTGATAATTGATAATAATTTTAATAATTTTGCATGTTTCTGAAGTTGTTTTATTAATATAATTTCAGTCTTTTTGCGTTGAATGATTCAAATAGAAGTGCAATATTGTTACGGATTTAATATTTAAATAGCTTATATTGTAAATTAAATGGTTTTATTTCCTGCGCAGTGCAGCGCGTGACGAATATTAAAAGAAAGCTAAGCCGGAAAATTGAAAATACAAGAGCGCGTGCATGTAACATTTAATAAATACAGTGGATGGACAAAAATATGGAAACACCTTGTGAAATGCATGTTTGAAAAGAAAGATTGATTTTAATGAAATATGTAGGGTGGCGCTGGGCGTTTTTGACTACTGACGCCACCTATACAACTTCGTAAATGTGCTAAACAGTTCAGTTGTTGTCGGATACGTTATGTGAGGTTGTCATTGCATTATGTCAGAGTTAACAGACTTCGAACGTGGGCAAATTGGAGCACGTATGGTAGGTGCTTCCGTAAGCAAGGTAGCCGAGGTGTTTAGTGTTTCAAGAGGTACTGTATCGAAGATTTATTCCGCATATTTGAAAAGAGGAAAAACCTCATCTGCTAAATCACAGCGCGGACAAAAGTGTGTCCTGATGATCGTGACAGACCATCATTAAGGGCAATTGTGACGAAAAATAAGAAGACCACAGCTGCAAAAGTTACTGTGAAATGAATGTTGTGTTACCGAACCCTGTGAGTACCAAAACAATTAGAAGGGAGCTTCGTAAACAGGGAATTGCTGACCGTGCTGCAATTGAGAAGCCACTCATCAGTGATGCTAATGCCCGTAACAGGAAAAGGTGGTGTTTAAGTCATTAAGCCTGGACTATAGAGCAGTGGAAGCGAGTAATATGGTCTGACGAGTCTTCTTTCACATTGTTTCCCACTTCTGGCCGAGTTTACGTTCTGGAAAACGCCATCTCAAGCCTATAATACAGACTGCTTGTTGCCAAGAGTGAAACATGGCGGGTGTTCTGTTATGGTTTGGGCAGCCATATCGTGGTTCTCTGCTAGCCCCATGATAACTGTGTCAGGGCACATGACTGCCAAGACTTATGTGAACGTTTTGGCCGATCAAGTTCATCCCATGGTACGAACTTTGTTCCCCGATGGTGATGATGTCTTCCAAGACGACAGAGCCCCTGTTCACACAGCTCACATTGTCCAGGACTGGTTTTCTGAGCACGAGGATGAGTTGTCCCATCTCCCCTGGCCACCACAGTCGCCAGACCTGAATATTATTGAACCTTTGTGGTCTACATTGGAACAGAAAGTGCGTTCTCGTTATCCACTGCCAACATCGTTATCTGAACTTGCCACCGTTTTAATTATATTTCCTATGTTGAAGGAAGAATGGTATAATATTCCCTTGGCAAACATACAGGAACTGTATTTATCCATTCCGAGAAGACTGCAAGCTGTTTTGGATGCCAACGGGTTTCCTACACCATATTAAGCAAAGAAACATGTTTTTTTAAAGGTGTTTCCATATTTTTGTCCAACACCTGTATCTCTTTTTGATTTCGAGAAAGTACTAGAAAATTCTCGCGCGCGATTTTAAAATCTTATAAAAGGAGGAAAACCTCTCAGTTCATTGTAGTTACTTAGTTTGTTGTTGTTTAGAAAAACTGCTCTTGTTGATTGTAGCGAATTCGCGGATTAGCTTTCTTTAGCTGTTTTGAATTAAGTTCTTTTGAACGTTTGAGTATTTAAAAGATAACTACTGTGAGATTTTGTAATACTGCACAAATATCTGAGGACATTTAAGCATTATTTGTTGTGATAATAATATTTTTTTCCTTTTTCGTCGGACTTGTGCATTCATTTCGTAACGAACCCGTAAGCACGCAACATTAGTTCAATTATAAATTATTAAAAATTATTATATATTGCATGATTCTACAGTAGCTTTTTTTCCTTCTGTTCAATAAATCGCCGAATACTGCAATGAAATTAAGAGATTAAAAAATAAAGTACTTTATCTGAGCTCAATTAGTCTTAAAAAATTTAGAATCATTTGTTCAGTTTATTTTGAGAATTTCGTATCATATAGGTATATATTTTCTAGAGTTCTAATGTTTAATTACATTAGAACACAAAATTTTAAGAATTTTTTCTCTTGGTCTGAAAGTATTTGTTATTAATAAATTGTAAAAATATAATTAATAAATGGGTTTAGTTGTTGTTTTAAAAAGTGTAATACGCTTTAATGGCATTCTAAAATATTAAAGTATATATTTCTCATTTTCATTTATGATTTCAGACGCTAAATCATATTTTCCTTACATACGATTCAAAGCGCAACGTCATATTATATTCCTCAAATTGGCAATAAGAAATGTTTGTTTCTTTATTTTAGGTTCTATTGAGAGATCTCCGGAAACATCTGGTCGGCCGACTCCATCTCCTGTTCCAAACGCAGATACATCTGCTCTTTCCGTAGATCAAATCGATAGTATCTTGAAGGTAATTGAAGATTCATGCAAAAAGGTAAAGGTGAATCTTTGCCATATGGTCATTTGTGTACATTTTGTTATTTGATTGTAAGAAAAGGGAATATTTCTCTCCGGTTTCAAATTTTCATCATAATATCGTTTATAAATCACAAAATATTGTTAAAATACCTCTGAACTTTAAAAACATATGCTTTTTATGGAGGAAAAGATGACAAAAGTTTGTAATCTCTTTAAATTAAATGCGGGAAAAACATTAAGCGATTAGAATAAAATTTGTCATCTAAAATATTAAAATAATAATTAAACAGGAAGTTAATACTATTAACTACAGTAAAATTAATTAAGGTAGTAAGTCTTATAATAAAGTTTAGTAACGTAATAACCATTATATTGTAGAATAATAAAATGTAATAGTGATAATAACTATATTAAAACAAAAAGAACAAACTACCGTCTTCAAAAAGAATTTCTAATTTCAAGAAATATTTATAAAAACAAAACCTTCAATTGCGATTTCTAAAGGATTTTCTAACTTTTGTCATAGAGAGTTTCCTCAAGTCTTTTATGTTAAAGGAAATACCAAAATTATTCTAAAATCTTTTTTATTTTTTTCATTAATAAATAATGCATTAATAACTTTGAACAGAATTTAAACTTCAATCAACTCTCTTGATTTTAAAAAAAAGGAATTTATAATAAGTACGTGGGAAAGGCTTTTTTCTCGACGCTTTTTATTTATATTTTAATTTTTCGGTACTTTTCCGTTTTGCCTGCGCAGGCGATAAAATCGCCAATAATGGTACAACTGATGCCAAACGGAATATTCTCGTTGGTAACCTTTCACGCCTCATTTTCAAAACAAATCGCAGCCATTTCTTATCAGATTGATTGTTTCTTTCAATACTGGCATATAATTACATACAATTTTTATCAGCAGCTAGTTCAATTTTATGCCCTAAGGCAATTAGCGATCATTAAGTCAATTAGGATGCAATCACACCGCTCACCCGAAGGCGAAAATATAGAAAAGTAAAAGTCAAGGCTTAAATTCATCCATTCTGATGACAATGCACTAGCGAAGTAAAGCACTGCGGTTTTGCAGAATTTCTGAGTAAGCTATTCGTACGAATTGAAATAATTCTTCCATTCCAATACAGGATGTTGAACCATGAAAACATAGTAAATTCTTAAATTAAAATCCTTTTACAAATTTATTGTCTTTATTTATTAGCATTTTACAAAGTTTTAAACGATATTAAATGTTTACGCCTTCAAAATAAAAAATTCTTAGAACTAACATTTCTTAACATTTTTTACGTGTATACTGTATGTTGTCGCCAATAAAGTCTGCTTGGCGAGATTTGCGCCGGCGAAACGGAAAAGTACCAATTTTTCATATTATATTTTAACACTAAACCTATAATATCCATAGATAAAAGTCAATTATATTGTATAATTTCATATCTCATAATTAGAAATTATATTTACAACATGAAATGAAACGCTTTATTCAATGTGTACAAAAATTATTAAAAAAATATTCTTAAAGATATTTATTTTAAAACATGCATTAATTTAATTCAAATAATGAACCGAGAGAAATATTCAATGCGGAAGCTCAAAAGTAAACCACTTTTATTACTGTATCTCCTGGATTAGGCAATGGAAAAGAGATATAAAGTAAACCCCCCAAATTTTCGAAATGCACCATAAACGTATTTTCTATTTTTTGTAATTTTTTGAAAATATTTATCATGATGTCAGAGTAGATCACTTTTGACCAATGGCAGCATCATGATAAAATAGGATAATGAAAAATATTTAATGACGTCACTTTTGCATTACTTTTTGTACTTTTTTGCCAAATTAGTATTTTTTAGCATGTTTGATATACTTAAAAAAAGATTTTTGTATACGGAATAGCGGAGAATTTTTCGTCAAATGGATGCTATAATTTAGAACAAATTGCAGATCTCAGTTACTGGATAGTTATAAATAAGAAAACAAACTGTTTACAATATGTTGAAAAAATTAATGAATTTCGATTTAGAAGTCAACGAGTTATTCATTAAATCGTGATCCATAATTGAATAAATAAACTAAGAAGAAACTAATAATATGAGCAAATGAAACAGGTTTATTATGATCATGTTAGGTACAGTGCACAGAAACAAAAACAAAAAAATCTGATGTGTACACCAGATGACTTCCTTGTATTGTAATATTAAATTATACGCATTTTTTCTTTTAAACTTATTGGATTGAATTAAATCATTTCATTTAAACTTATTGGATTGAATTAAATCTACTTCGCCGACAGCGCATAAACCACAATAGAATAGCATTCTTTAAAATTCGCTCTAGTACTTGTTTACGATAGCGAACTCTGGCGCTAATTCACTTAACAGTATTAATAATTATATAACAGTTAACTATATATTTCGTTCATATATAACTCATAACGCACAAATTTTATCATTTAAAGAATAGAATTATCTAATCGTTGCCACATGTTCTATTCAAATACTATAATAAAGCTAAAACGATGTATAAAGGAAATGAAGCAAACAAAACAAAAAAGAAACAGTTTTTCACAGACGATTGAGTATTTCTCATTTAATTAATTCAGTTCTCACTTCGCGAGAAGGCAAAAATACATAAAAACTCAAAATATCTATATTAAAAATTACGAAGTAAATCTCAAACACTTGTTTCCTCGAAAAAATTCCAGAAAGAATTAAGCATGATTTAATTGACTATAATAAATGAAGGCGTTTATCTTTGTTTTGCGAAGCTAAGCTTCTCTAGTTGGCAACAAATCCACTAGTCCCTGTTCTCCGTTCCAATGTAAACATCAATGGCGCCATTAAAAAGGCTTAGCGGCATTTAAACACTTAAATTGCTGATAATTCTAAAAAATATTGCACACAGATTTACTAAAGACATAAAATCCTTAACCGGAGATAAACATAATTCAATCATTTTAAAGCAAAAATGTACAATTTACAAACATAGAAGAGTAAATAAACTGAGATCAACTGAGCCGGTAACAGGGGGAATATATATAAATATATTTATATACGTTTGGTGTAGCGATTGCAACCAAAATACGAGGTGGCACATCACATGTTATAGCAGTCCTTATACAAAATTTCACGTTCTGAGGCTACTCGTTTGGAGTTATGCGAGATACGTATGTACTTACATTACGTTCGTACAGACGCCACGAAAAATTCTCTTCCAAATTAATTTTAGAGCAGTTTTTTTTTTTTTTTTTGGGGAAGGAAAAGAGTATTTTATTCTGTCCTTACGTATAGATATCATGCAAAGTCATCGTTAAATCGCATTCGATAGCGGTCAAAGTGGATATTTTCGTTGAAATGTGCTGCCTGAAACTTTTCGCGATTGCAATACTTCCTTTTTACTTCGTACAAGGAAGTAAAAATAAAAAAAATAGGACAGTTCTCTATATCACCCTGTTCTACTGGGCCGATTCACGAAATTTAACTTGTGTTTTTCATGTCTCGAATGCGCGACTTAGGATATATATTAGATTTATATATAGCATAGTTCTAACATGGGCATTGTGATACACAACCGAACTTTTCTGAAATAACATATCAATTGTTTTCCATATTTCCATTCTACGACTGAAATTATGCCAAAGTGCCAAGTTTGGTTAAAATTTCGCGAGTAGTTTTTAAAAAATTAGTTCTCACAATTTTATCTTCTCCATGTTAATAGAGTTTGGTATATATTTATTAATATCTCCTTTTTTATTAAACTTATTTGATTCTTCCTTTCACATTTCGAAATTTAGGCATGCTGTCTCCTTTCCAGGATTAAATGCAGCAGTAGAACGTGTTTTTTCTAGTATCAATAAAATATGGATAATTATAAAAACGCAGTTGAACATTAATTAAAATATGTATTAAGCGTAAAATATGATTTGACCAATTCATGTGAGAAATTTCACATTTTAATAAATGATCCAAATTTATTGCAAAGTATTCATTCGGATGAAATATCACCTTGAGAAAACCATAATTTTTAAATAAAATTTTAAATTAATTAAAAACATAATATTCATTTTTTTTGGAAAATTATATAGTACCAAAGTTAATAATAACATATTTTTTGTTTTATAGATAAAGTAAATGATGTATACAAAAAAATACATTTTTTTGAATTATTGGTCTGCTTTCATAACTAAATTGCAATTCTTATTTCATTCCATTTGTCCCGCTTTGTCTCCATGAAAATGTGGTCACTTAGATATCATTGATTATTTTCTCTATGCCTCTTGATAACGAACTGTCACTGCATGAGAAAGGTTTTACTCGCTATGCTCTACCATTTCTCAAATATATTTTTAAATGGTAGATATTTTTATTTTTAATTAAATTTTATCAAACCATAAAGGAAAATAAGTTGCCACTTCCAGAACAAAAAAAATGTAATATATTGACAATGAGAGTAATTTGAGCTTTAGTCATAAGTTTATTATTTCTTACACGGAAATTGTCAATATAATGCAAATAAAAAATTATTTCTATAATTTAGGATATTTGAGTAATTATTGTCAAGGCGGATTCAGTGAATGTAACGTTACAATCTTATTTTCCATTATATTAATTTCATTATTAGACTCGGAATATCTATGGAACTTTACACAATTTTACCCATGCCGTAAATAGTGTACTCCTTTCGTGACATGACGATCATTCGCACTGTTTGCGCTTGTTTCTTTAAATTATAAAAGCATTTTAAATTCATAATTGTATTTACAGTGGTGGCCAAAATTGTGGACACTTTTGGAAATTTTTATGTTTTTGAACTTTGTATCTTAAGAAAATGTTACGTTTCGCAAAATGCAAACTTGATATATCATTTTAAAGAGAATTTTTACTGAATTCAATACAAAACACAAATTCAATTATTTGCAATACAATAAAGTTTGTACTTAAATATAAATAAAAAACACAGTTATAAAGTGGTTTGAATGTCTAGATTTCCTGGCCAATCACCGTTCTTGTCTGAGAACCAATCAAATGTCGTAACTGCCAGTAGAAGTGACATATTTACCTTGAAACAATTCATTATTTTGTTTTGCTCTGTTGAAGGAGGACCTATTTCTTATACACTGCAATTACAAGTAGGAATTTTTGAAAAACTTTTTTTTTATTCAAAACAATGACATCAAATGGAAAAGTAGATTGGACACCTAGAAAAGAGATTAATATTATTGTGTACGAGAAAGTGTCTTTCCTACGATGAAGTTGCAAGACAGGGGGTGGTCAGTGACTACATGGAGTCCAAAGTTTTGTTTACCATACAGGAGACAAAATTAATAAAAAAAGAAAGAGGGAAAAGGCCGAAAAAGGTGCACCACATCTATTGATGACAGAAATTAAAAGGCTAGTCTCCAAGATAGAAAAATGTCATCAGCGGCCATTCAGAAATGATCTAAATGATGCTGGCGTTTCTGTCACTACAAAACAATCAGGAGAAGATTAACAGATTTGGACTGAGAGGTAGATTCCACGAAAAAATCCTATCTTAATGCAGCAAAAAAAAAAAGACTACAGTGGGCAAAGAACACATTTAATTGGACAGATGATCAATGTCACAGTATATGGAGTGATGAAACTATGATATCGTTATTCGGTAGTGATGGACGAAAATATGAAGACGTAGAATAGGAGAAGAGCTACATCCTGACTGCATTCAAGCAACTGTGAAGAACACAGTTAGTGTTTTGATTTGGTCATGCATGTCAGAAGATGGTTATTGGTCGCCTTCATGTCATCGATGGGAACTGAATCCCAGAAAATTACATTGACACTATTCTAGAACCAAAACTTCTTACCTTCCATCAGATATCTCTTTTCAACAATGCTTCGTTTATTTTTCAGCAGGATTTGCTCCTTGCCACACGGCCAAAATATCGAAAGAGTGGTTTCGTACAAAGATTATTAAATTGTTGTCATGGCTAGGAAACAGTCCTGACCTCAATCCTATCGAAAATGTGTGGCACCGTTTGAAACCTCTTGTCCGAATGAGGCGCCCATCAAATAAAAGGGAACTAATTGAGGCTATAATTGTTTCCTGGCATCATGTAATAACGAAAGAAGAGCTTAAAACTCTTGCCAGCTCAATGAAACGTCGATGTGAAGCTGTAACAAAAAAAGAGTACCGTACTAAGTACTGATAACTCACTGCAATCATCACTATCTAATGTATATCGATTACTATTATCGTTTAACTTTTTTTGTATTGCAAATAATTGAATTTTGTGTTTTGTAATGAATTCAGTAATAAATTCTCTTTAAAATGATATATACAAGTTTGCATTTTGTGAAACGTAACGTTTTCTATAAGCATACAAAATTCAAAAACATAAAAATTTCTAAAAGTGTCCACAATTTTGGCCACCACTGTATACGGTACTAACTAGTGTCTGGTGTAAAATACTAGAGATGAAAGTTATTATGTTCAAATTGATTATTTCTGCTAGCTTCACAACTAACATGTCGTTAGTTTTCATTATCACCGACCGTAAACCTCATTGTTCTATATACAGCTTTCTGTTATGTACACATAATTTCTAAAACAATTTCATTTTCTCATTTTCAGCAAATATGAATAGTTAAAGACGATAGAGTAACATGAAATATGTGTTCAATCATCAATATTTAAAATAGTAGCACAATTTAATGCTTTAAAATTTTAGAATGTCACAGTAATCTTTTGATGCAATGGAAAAAATTATTTGCATATATGCAAAATATTATACTGAATGTGCTAAGAACTTCAACGAATTCGTAAGAGAATAATTTATTTTGGGCAAAATAGCTTTTAAAAAAAGAACTTTTTTGTTTGCAGTTTAATGAAAGTTTGAATTATAAAAATGCAAGCTATAACGGAATGCAATAAAGGCTTGCACATCATTGCAACACTGATTAGTAACTATATAGATATATCGAGATTAATTTAATTTGCGACTTCACCGGATTCAAGTAGTAAATACGAACTTTTGCTTCTGCGTTAAATTGTATATTATTTAACTTGCCTTCTTTAACTGACCTAGAAATTGTTATTTAAAACAAAATGTTGGTTTTTTTTTCATGGATTATATAAATATATTTCTTATGGCTTACATAAAACAGAGTAATTAATGGTCGAATACCAAAAAAGTCTGATGTGTACACCACATGATTTCCTTGTACGGAATATTAAATTATACGCATTTTTTCTTGCATTTCATTTAAACTTATTAGATTGAATTAAATCTACTTCGCCGACAACGCATAAACCACAATAGAATAAATACATTCTTTAACATTCACTCTATTTGTTTACCATAGCGACACTCTGGCGCTAGGTTTACTTAACAGTATTATATTTCGTTCATATTATAACTCAGAATGCACAAAATTTATATCATTTAAAGAATTATCTAATCGTTTCCACATGTTCTATTCAAATACTATAATAAAGCTAGAACGATGTATAAAAAGAAATTAAGCAAACAAAACAAAAAAGAAACAGTTTTTCACAGACGATTGAGTATTTCTCATTCAATTAATTCAGTTCTCACTTCGCGAGAAGGCAAAAATACATAAAAACTCAAAATATCTGTATTAAAAATTACGAAGTAAAGTAAATAAATCTAAAACACTTATTTCCTCGAAAAAATTCCAGAAAGGATTAAGCATGATTTAATTTGCAATAATAAATTAAGGTATTATCTTTGTTGTTGCGAAGCTAAGTTTCTCTAGATTGGCAACAAATCCACTATCCTGCTGTTTCAAATGTAAATAAGCAATGGCCGCCATCAAAAAATTATTAGGCTTAGCGGCACTTAAACAGCTTTAAAATTGTTGATAATTCTAAACACATATCGCATACATATTTACTAAAGGCATAAAAACCTTAACCGAAAGATAAGAACCAACATAATTCAATCATTTTTAAAGCAAAAAATGTACAATTTACAAACATATAAGAGTAAAGAAACTGAGATCACTGAGCCGGGTAATAGAGTGGATATATATATATAAATATATTTATATACGTTTGGTGCGGGCCGATCGCAAACAAAAATACGAGGTGCACATCTACATGTTATAGCAGTCCTACATACAAAATTTCAACGTTCTGAGGCTACTCGTTTTCGAGTTATGCGAGATACGTACGTACGCATGTACATGCATACGTTCGTACAGACGCCACGGAAAATTCTCTTCAGAATTAATTTTAAAGCAGTTTTATAATTTTTTTTTGGAGGAAACAAGTCTTTTATTCTGTCCTTACGTACAGATATCACGCAAAAACATCGTTAAATTGCATTCGATAGCGGTCAAAATGGATATTTTCGTTGAAATATGCTGCCTGAAACTTTTCGCGATTACAATACTTCCTTTTTACCTCGTACAAGGATTTAAAAATGGAAATTCTACTAATTAAGCTATTTATTTAATTGTCTAAATTTTGTGCATGGCAACTCTGAGAGCAAAATATGTATTCATTAAACAGATACGCAAAAAAAGATCTGCTCCGATTAACTATGTACTTCTCAAATATGGCATAATGATAACTTGAAACTTCTACCAGAACCTTTGCAATATGTCGAGAATTGACATTGTTCTTAGTAAATTTCAGTAAATTGTTTACCTAGACCATATGCTAGTTCAGAAGGCTTTCCTTGATTATTAGATTAAGTTTATGATTGCACGTGAGTTTGAATCATTGTTAATTTTCCTTCCAGACTGCGGATACTGTGACAGAATACTGTCGTGCTCCTTTGGAAAGACGAAGTTCCAGTATAGGAGGCGCCAGCAGTACAGGCAGCAGTGGATCTGCTAGTATACCGTTCATCCCTTCAAGGCAGTTATCGGATGGCGAAAAATTACGGAAAGTCATTATGGAGCTGATAGACACAGAGAGAACTTATGTTAAGGTATATTTTTAAATCTTCGCTGTTGATGAATAACTTTTTCAACTTCAGATAATTTTATTTTAATAGTAGAATATAGCTTTTACAAAAAACCAATATTTTCGAAAATAATAGTTGATTTAGTTCATTGATTTTAATATTATTATTTAAGACCTCTATTTATACAAATAAATGTTAGATATTTTAAGAGAGAAAATAATAAAATAAAAAATTATAAAAAGTATAATTGATCTTTATCATCTGAATTCAGGATCTGGTCTTAATTCAATATTTTTCGTTTTCTTGATAATACATTTGTAAGCTAAAGTTAATTTTTAAATCCAAATAATCAAAACGTATATAAATAAATTAAATAGCTACATTAAATTCTTTACTTGAATTACGTCAAAGAAACTGCTAGATATATGAGTATAAATAATCTGTCGTTTATCTAGTATCAGTAACTCGTATAAATTCTTTACAAATCTAAAGCTTTCAAAAAGCAGTTGTTCTATATTTACTTTTCGAATGAACAACCATCACCAATTTAAAGGTCATACCGGAAAAATTCGCGATAAAACATTAAAAAAATTTGGACATACATAAATATATTCATTCAGTATATCCTTTATTTCGCTGATATTATCAGAGAGGATAAATATATAAAATTTTAAATCGAATTCTTAACAGATAATATCAAAAGACTTAATATATTACTCTATAGAAAGAAAGAAATTTTGACAGGATATACTGTTTATCATTGTCGAATATTGATCACACAATACTGTTTATCATTTTTTTTAAAAAATTGAGGAATAAAAATTGAAAAGAAATCTGAGTACTAATTGCAATATCACACTACCATATGCAGGCAGACAGTTTTCTAAGCTGTCTAATATTAAATATCATATCATAATTTGCTTTTGATACAAAATCAAAGATCATACGAGTTTCCTTATTTGTCATTTGATTATTCTGACTTTTGCCAAAATGCTTTAGTATTGCAACAAAATAAAATCTGTGCGACTTGCAACAAATTATCGAGAAGAGAATCAGTTTTCTGTTTTGGTTATCAAAATTTGTGAAGCTTTTTTAACAGTTTCTTTAAAAATAAGATGACACTAAAAGCAAGCTTAAATATTTTCCAACTGTGATTTACTAAATCTAAATATTATTTTGTTCTAGAGCTACTTTACTTTATCCTTTAAATTTAGTCGTCTAAAAAAAACTGAAAGCTTTCAAATTTTATATTACCCCCAAAGAAGCGTTTTGTTAACTTAACTTTTTGTGTGTTACCTTTATTTATTAAATATCATGTTCTTCGTACTTAAACCCCATACAATTCAATTCAACAGCAAGACCACAAATATTTAAAGACAATATACCGTTAGAATTTTCGATACACAGTTCCGCGCGCTGGAGATAAAAATAATTTTTCTGTATTACGTTTGCTTAACAGAAATTCATTAAAGTTTTACAAAATACGAAAGAGATAATAAAACAAATTCGAAATTCAAAATTCTGGTTTCCATATGCCCATATTCGGGTAGAGGATTACGTTATTCAAAATTTGATGCCTCTACGCACCATCGTTTTTTCACAATGCGAGAAATATATATATATGTGATGTACCAGCTTTTGTCAGGAATAAATAGATTGTTGAAGAATCATAATTGTAGTCGTAGCTTAAATTATCAGACGATAAGTTTAAAAAACAGGATCCATTTATTATTGGTCAGGAGAAACAGCAGTTACAAAATCAGATATCCGGAGTAAATAAAAAAGAGCTACTAATAATATTTTGTATGAAGTTTACTGCATCGTGACATTTAAGAAAAAAGCCCCGATATTCTTTTGCGAGTCCTTTTATAGCCTCTGGAAAGGCGGAGCTTCCAAGAAATGACGTCAGCCTCGTCAGCCAATCCAGTTCGCTTTAAATATTTCCAGAACATTCTATAACTGTACATGTAGAAAAGGCGGGAAAAACAACTTGACTATGGGGCTGTGGATTTAATTCCACGTACTTTCAAATAAGAGACCATCGCCATTAAAAAATGAAAAACAACATACAATTAGAAATTTAAGTCTAATTTTTACTACAGAATTTTATTATTACAAACATATATATTCTTGCATACATACCTTTCTTCATTATTCGGTTTCTTTAAATATAATTCATGGGGATAATATTTGGTGGCAACAGTTTAAAAAGTGATTCTTCGTTTATACCGAAATGCCACAAAATGTCGTTTTGAGACTAATAACCGTTCTGGGCTATCGCCACTTTTGGCTGAAAATTTTGGCTGACGGAATGAAAAAGCGAAATATATTGCTTTTATTCTTAAGCTTTTATTGCTTTTATTATTTGAATTATGTCTAAATTGCAAAATCACAGTTTTCTTTGCGTTAGATTAAAGAAAATTTACACAATTGGCATGTTAATATTAAATTTAAATACAATTTATGCATATGATGCGTATTTGATTAGGTATTTCATACAATTTTAAAACTTTGTTATATATATAAATATTTTTAATTACTTTATATGTACAATTATGTATAAAAATTATCTTGTTTATAATATGTATATTGATTTGTAACTTTCATGTACATAAATTCCTCTCATTTCGCCATACATTTATGTAAATCTGAATAGCATTTGTGCATTTATCATATATCCCATGCCTTTAATGCCTAAATCCGTATTTTGTAGTTGTATCCCCATGAGTTAACTTCACATATAACAACTTCAATGATGAATTAAAATATAAAATACTTAAAAATTAAATGAATGAATGAAAAACGCGTTTCCTAAATGTAAGAATGTGGGTTCCTTAATGATAATGCATCACAAATATAATAAACGTAATTTTTAACATTATAGCCAACTGACCAGCAATGAATTTTTAATTTTTGCCCCGTGTTCCTCCAAAATATTTACCATCAGCAATCTTGCACATGAATGACTTTTTGCTTTGATTAAAAATTTTATTTATGCTCCTCATTCCTGTATAATCACCTTCTAGCATGATTTCATTCACACTGCACTTAAAAAAAACCTAGCGATGTGAAAACTTGTCAGCACAAATCCATAGCTCTGCATATTACGCATATACCGTAATTTCCGGAAGAAAAGCCGCGGCGTTTACGTGTTTAAAACTTAAATTTTCAGCGGGTGCGGCGTTTCTACCCATGCGGCGTTTAGGTGCACTGAAAATAAAATATTTCCTCTGATGGTCATTGTACATAGTTTGGATGGTTTTGTCATTGTGCATAGACTGGTGCTGTTCCCACACAAAAGACCACTCAGTGGCTTTTTGAGAACGTTATTTTGTTTACATTCTTTCCCTTGAAAGGACCTATATGCCTTATTCACCCTGATCTCAGAACAATAACATTCTTCCCCCTTTCAAATCAACATTCTCATCAGTTTGAAGAGTCTCTCTCCTGTGTGATTCGATGAATCTTCCAGGACCCATCCTCTCCCCACCCCTGCCTTTTCTGCAATTTTTTTCAAAGGCGGAAACGACTCCACCTGCCTCGCAATAACGAACTCTGACGTATTTTCCTTTCAGCATGAATGGATTTTTCTTGGCATTCTGCCAAATACAGATCCCATCAGTTTGGGTACAAGTACTTGTTGAATAGTTTTTAAGTAAGAAGGGAACGGAAAATTTTTGAAAATGTCTCTAAACGGCACAGAAGCTATACATTTCTTACCTTTAATTTATTTTTGAGTTATGGTTTCATTTCATGCATTTTTCTTAACTGGTATGTCATATATCAGGACTTAGTTTGAGTTTTTGCATCTACGACGATGTCACGCGCAATTTAATCTATTGCGGCGTTTACGCTGATGCGGCGTTTCCAAAGAATCTCTAAGGAGAAGAATGAAAGCTTCCATAGACACAATGTAAACCTGTTTCGCCTCTGCGCCGCTGTACCGAAGAGCCACGGCTATGCAGTAAAACACCAGCGCAGGGTGAAATTTAAACAGCGCAGTTCGAGGAGATAGTAAATATTTTACTTTGAAATAACTCAAAATGTTTTATTTTCATACATTTCTGGAGTTTTATGAGCAAAAGGATGTTAGTTGGAATTTTGGGGCGAATTATAGAAATCCTGTCCAATTTTTACTTTCAATTTAAACAGCGAGCCGTACGAAGACAAAATTTAAATGAAATAAATTTCTTAATTCTTTTCTTCTGTAAACTTAAAAAGGGGGGAAAACACATGCCATACAAAACGTAATAAATTTTTATGGATCCATAGTTAAAATTTTACAGTGAAATTTTAAAAGCAAATTCAAACACTGAAATACATTACAATTATCCGACAACAACTTTAAAAACAAATTACCATGAAAACGTTTAGACAATTATTTGGAATGACCATTGTGGAAACGAAGAGCAAAGTTTTCACCCAATAGCCAAAACCATTTCACTTACAGCATTACATTTAAAAAGTCTTTAAAAGAATTTCACATAGCTAAAACCAAGTACCTCTGACTACAACAACAAAGAACGTTTTCGAACAACGTGGTAAAAGATTGCTAACATGGCCGACGGCATGCTGCATTCTTTGATGCTCCTTTGTTGCCTCCTGATGTTATTTCGCACATGCGCAGTGAGGTACGGAGGGTGGATAGTTTTGGAATGGTTTGCCCCTTTAAAGTAAGCTTCAGGGATATACATAATGTGTCTCTTCGGTCTGACGGAGCCACATTTGCCCCGGGGAACCTTTACTTCTTCTCCTTAGAGATTCTTTGGCGTTTCTGTGTAATTTTAATTTCTTTCCCGCCATTTTTCTCGAGTGCGGCGTTTACGCTGATGCGGCCTTTCTTTCGGAAATTACGGTAAATAAATTTTAAGAATTAAATCATGACCACTTTTGCATGGACGAAACACTTTCGCAGAGCATGATTCATTTTATTTTTGTTTTGCCCGACTCCGATGCAGAGCAAACACTATTTATTGAAGCGAAACAAAAAGAAACATGTCTGGTCTCTTGTGCTTTTCTTATTT